TCGCGGCGAGCATTGGAACTGCAGGTCCCTCGGGACTACGAGCAAGAACAGCAGCTCAACTCCCAAGCCATGGAGAAACTGAATCGATACCAGTTATACAGGGAGTTACACCTCCGCCAGTACCAACTGGTGGACAGATTCCCCGCTCCATGGGAAGAACTACCCTTGGTACAAATCCTCATGCCGGAGAATTGGAGCGACACGCGGACGCGCTCCTCCAGCGAAGCACTATCTCCGCGGTAATACAAATGGCCACAGCCATGGCCCTACAACGACTCACTAACTTCGCTGCAGGGCAACCCGGGAATGAGCATAGCGACATACCTCGACGACTGGCTAGTGCCAGTCTCCAGATCAGAGGACTCGCCCTCCAAACAGACCCTGACACCGCCTCTTGGTATGAACATAACGACGGACGACCACGAGCTCTCCTCATCCATCCCGACGAATTCTCCCAGTATGTCAACAGAGAGCTCCTTCCAGCTCTCCTCTTCACCGGAGAACTGGGCGCCGTCCAACCAAGTAGAACCGACCCTTTCCGTGTTGTCGTCTGGAATGTACCACGTCCCGGAGAACATCCCACGGCTGTACCAAATCCAAGAAGGGCTCCGCGCACGGTCGTGGAACGCCCTTCGCCGAGGCCACGGGAGAGTCGCCCAACACATAGCAATCCCACGACTTCCCCCTCTCACCGGGTACGAAATTTTCCCTTATCCCATGGGGGTACTGACGAGGAGGAACCGCCCGTCTATCGAAGAAACGAGGGAAGAAGAAGTCGAGGAACCCAGGCAACCCTCCTCCGCGGAACAACTACTGGTGGGAGTATTCGACACCAGCCTGGAACGCCTCCTCCTAGTGCTCGATTTCGTACAGACGAGGGACAGAATAACCGAAGTAGCCGCAGAACTCGCCGCGCTGATTCGGAGGCTAGAAGAAATCGCTCTTGGACTCGATCCGAGCTCGATGCATGGGACGCTTTAGATGACCCTGGGAATTACGACGACGCCGATCCGTATTATCGGCCTGATGAAGGAGGCGATGGGTACCAAGGACCCTATGACTACTAGAGAAGGGCAGTCGCGGAGCGAGAAAGGGGGTAAGGAAGTTAAGGAACTCCTACCCCTACTAGGGTCCGAAATGACCTTAAACTATCGATTGTCCGCAACGACGTAAAACTAGGTTCGTCCCTCAAGACGTTAAACTGTACGACTTCGTCCGAAAGAGACGTTAAACTACCCGCATCCGGAATGACGTCTAAACTATCGGACCTGCATGTCTTAAAACTGTGAAAAGATAAGAAGGCAGGGGAAGTACCTGACCATTTTAGTCCTAGGTTCAAATGATGGTACGAATCAAGGACAACAGCGGGCATAATTCCACGTACGACCTACGGCGGAACCTTTCACATCCTCGCTGTCAAGGAGTTAATCTGACAGATGCATCGAGCGTCCCATTTGGATCCTCAGTTTTACAGGGTTTTTTCCACATTAGGGAACCCTCTACATGACATATACTCTACTTGTAGGTGTCGACAAGCCGGCTCTTCGCCTTGGTACAGCGAAGTGCCCATACATAACCGGTTGCAAGTCCGAGCCAGGAAATTATGATGCACAACTCGTTAAGTGAACCCTCACAGTCAAGGTCTGACTGGTGTTTTGGGACGTCCCACTTTGGATCTCCCGTTTTACAGGATCGTTTCCGCATTAGGGGATCCTACAGCTGGCGCATGAGATGATGTAGAGAGCGGGCCGCCTCTACTTCACAAGTCTTCCTATAATGATGCGAGGCCATAAAACACATCCGGAACGATGTAAAACTACCAAAGGCTTGGTCCGCAATGACTATAAACTACTAGGGTCCGCAATGACGTTAAACTAGTCTTCGTCCGCAACGACGATAAACTACGAAGCGTCCGGGATGATGTTAAACTAAGCATTGTTTTTCCACAATATTTGTGGCAAAACAACGTCCGCGATGATGCTAAACTATTGTCCCTTTCCACATAGGGATTGTTCGAGGCCATTTTTGCAATGGAAATGGCATCGACGTCCGCAACGACGGTAAACTACGGGCATCCGAAACGATGTAAAACTACTGTCCCTTCGTTCTAGGGATCTTAGGATGTGTCTCAAGATTGGGATGTCTCCTAGTCCGAAATGACGATAAACTATTTGTCCCTTTAAGCATAGGGATCGTGCGTGGTGGAAATCAAGGTTATCCCCACGCGTCTGAAACGACGCTAAACTACTTGTCCCTTCAAGTATAGGGATTGTGCGTGGCGATCTTGACAAGATACCACGCGTCCGCGACGACGTTAAACTAGTGCCCCTGGACCTAGGGGTTGTCATTGATGTCCAATCCCCTGGACACCAATGCGTCCGCAATGACGGAAAACTATTTTGCTCCTTACCGTATAGGAGTTGTGGATTGACCGCCATGCTGTCAATCGGTCCGCAATGACATTAAACTACGTGCTCCTTACCGAATAGGAGTTGTGGTTGTTGACCAAGACCGTGGTCATCAACCGTCCGAGATGACGTTAAACTACTCGTCCCTTTTAATATAGGGATCATCGGTCGACATCATTCTTGACGAGAATGTGTCGACAATGTCCGAAATGACATTAAACTACCCTCATCCTCGGAGGAAAAGCCTATCGTGACTCGAGGGACATAGTCAGACGATAGCCCGCCTATCGCACGGCGTTAAACTGCGAGGATGCCTACCTCACGGCATTAAACTGAGCGGTCTCCTAATATTGAGACGTTATAAGTTATCCGGTTTGATATAGTATAAACCGTTCCCATCATGCCTCAGTGGAAACCTGCGGGATAAAGTCTGGTCTAGGGCCCTATGCACATAACCGATGAATGGTCCGGCGTGCAGAAACATCTTTCCCCACAGATATTCCATGTTGATGATGAAGAAGGTCTGCAAATGACCTAGAAGTAAACTACAAGGCAGCGCAGGGCGCCTTAATAACATCCGAAACGATGTAAAACTACTGGCGTCCGTAACGACGTAAAACTAGGTATCGTCCGCAACGACGATAAACTACGGAACGTCCGGCAAGACGTTTAAACTGCTATCGTGGATATATCTCGCAACCCGACAAATATATCAGCTGTGGTCTTAATGTCCATTCGTGCAAGCGAACGGGCCGATCCGGAGAAGGAGTCAGACTCCTCCTTACTCTTCACGGCACCCTTCAAGTCTAATTCTCTTCACATCCTTGCCTCAAACCCAATACGCATAGTGAATCAAACAAACTCTGGACGTCGAACTAACTCACCGGAGATGAGCCCACCGTATGGGGGCGATACTGCTTGGGATTTATGGCTGCAACCTCACCGGAGATGAGCTCACCGTATGGGAGCGATACTGCTTGGGACGTTAAGATGGTAGTCTGGGGAAGTAGGCCTAAGCCTTTGTAAAGCGATCAACCTACTTGCCCGTGGACGCCATCCTCTGAACGCCAAGAGGAACAACAAAAATCACGAGGATAACGACTATCCTGGAAACACTAAGGTTTGGCCCTCGGAGAAGGAAGAAGAAGAACCTGATGACACGAATCGGAACCCACATGCTAGAGTTTCTATTCATCCACACACCACTCGCATTCATACGCCTTTCTTGATGCTGTTCCAGAGGAGGCTGGAAGTAAGACCGCGATGGAATTGCCGCGGCAAGATCAATCCTTACGGGTGAAGGAAGAACATCCTAGTGGCCCAGGGCTTGGATACCCCTGCGTTATGGCCGAGAAACAAACAGCTCAACGGAGATGGAAAACTCCTAGAGGATCAAACGACGTAAGTCGGTCTTCCTCCCAGAAAACGAAGTCATGTCCCGGAAGTCGCATCCGGAGACCGTTTTGGATCAAGAAAGCAAATCGTATATGGAGTGGCGATGAAGCGCACAGCGCTGTCCTACCAGGCGAATAGGACGTAGAAAGGGGGTATTGTTATGATCACGTTCTGTCGGGCCTTAACGGCGGTCTATTCCGACACGATCATCACAAATATCAAGTGGCCTCACAAGGTGAGGCGTACAAACAAGGTACAGATAGTAACCTTGGTCATCCACTCCCAACGGATCACCTTATCGTTGGTCGAGTATCACGGGCCTATTGCGTAGCGGGCATGGAACGCCGCCTTACAAACTACTCACACATCGGGCATTGAGCTCCTAGTCTTTCCTGGCCGGAAGGAGACTAACGGAGAAACACAAGAGTAGTCGTTATTGAGAGAGAACGACTTAGAGTATACCTACGGATACATATATGGTATTCTCACGCCCTATTTCCTAAAGTAGTATAAAAGGCCCATAGAGTAGGCTGAGGTTCTTCAGTCTATTCTCTTCGTTCTACTGCAGTCTTCCTACTGCAGCCTTCACTCTCCTGTATCTTCACATACAGGAACCTTCGTTCTTAGGCAGTCTTCCTACTGTCTACCATTGCTACATCGCAATACACTCCTGGCTCCTGTGCTACACGTACAGCCGAGACCATCGTTCGACACATCCTCCATGAGTGACCTAGGGAAGAACCTCCTACTCTTGGGGTTACCGAACGAGCAGTTCGTAACAGTATGCTCCGGACATCAGGAAAACAGCAAATTACTTTTTGGAACTTACAGGGCTTGTGCAAGACTGTAAGTTCCAAAAAGTGGCCTAAGCTTCCAAGAAGATCCTACTTAGATAGGTAGATTCACCTCTTAGAAAAGTTCGATAAGTGGAATCCCTCCTTAGAAAAGTCCAGGTGACTTGTCTAAGGCAGGTTAAAAGTCATAAAAGTGTCATAAAAAGCCATATAAGCAGCACACAAAAGGTGTTCAAGATGCTTCACACCGATATGAATTCCAAATTTCCAAAAAATATTTATTTATTGGCTGTAGTTTAACTAAGGCTTGTCTATGGTAACTATGGATATGAACTTCAGAAAACTTAATAAATGCATGACGTCGCAGTGCCCACAGCCCACCCACATCGCTCCCCGCAAATGCCTAGCTGATTGCCAGGCAGATGAACTTGTGGCCCGCAAGCACGTCTGGCACCACTGCCGCCTGCACCGCCAGCAAGCCAAAGTTGAGCACTGGCGGCAGCCCAAAGATCATCCCTGCCATGAGCTCGTCCATATACGCACGCATGCTGCACCGCGCGAGCTCGAAGTAAACAATCAGCTGTGGGCCCACTACCACATGCATGAGTGAGGGGCCATGGCAAAAGGCGCGCTCAGTGCTTACCTCATGAAAATAGTCGAATTCTTCGGGCATGATAACACCGCCCATCCACGTGCGCCCCTTCAGGTGCTTCCCAGGTCCCAGCCACATTGCCGTAATATTCATCTCTGTACCACAACCGCACATCAGCCTTTGCCCCACAACCCAAAAACAGTATCCACGCGGCACGCACCCCATCTTATCCACCACCTCCTGCGTGATCTGCTGCCCGCCTTCCTCGCAGCGCTGCGCATCGGGGTACACGACCTCCATCATGAACGTGCACACCACCGCCTGGAAGCGCCGGTGCCCCGCACTGTAGTACGGGCTGCTGTACCTGTCCACGAGCCATGTTGGCTCTGTGTATGGCACCCACACATGACCAGTGTCATGCCTGCGAGTGAACCGATCCGCAGCTATGCGTATGCCAGGCAGCACAGCCCGAAGAACGCCTCCGTCGCACCCTTGCTAGCTGCACCATGGGTCGCATGCGCACGCAAGTGTGTGTGTGGGGGCAGAGGGGTCAGTGAGACTCTGGTGTGCAGTGCGCCATGGCGGGCATAGGTTGTGACGTACCTATGGTCGAGGCGAGCAGGACGCTGGCCCCCCCTGGGTGTAGGTTCGTGAATTTCGAGAGGTCGTACACCATGGTGTCTATAACAACCCACTGCACCGCTTTTCAGTGCACATCCAGCCCAGCCCATCCATTCATTCCGCAGACGTACCAGGTCACCCTCCTTGTTATGCTGCAATACACACGAGTCGACTGTGACATGGCGATCCATGGTCGCTGCACTATCACCCGGCCTGGTATGTCCTGAACATTGTGGCCTGCAATGGCGCCTTCCAGCTCGTAGTGCTTGGTTTCGGCAGAGCTCATATGGTTATCGTACAACGTGATGGTTCCTATCAACAACGTCAGCTTGAGAAAATAACTGAGGTGAATGAAGAGAAACAATACCTGGCTTGTCGAAGCTCGACTTGCCCACCAAGCTCCCTGCACTCTTCCTCAAGCTCAATGTAAGCGTTTTGGGCATGTGCCTCCAACAGCGCGATCTCCGTGTTCCTTGCCTCGAGCGTGGCGTTTGTCTTGCTCTCGCCGGCCTTGTTTGCCTCAAGAGTGGAGGTCCTTCATCAAAGACTCCTCATTGTCAAAGCAGGACTGCAAGTCATGGAGCCGCACCTTGCCGTTGCTTCACCATCTCAATGTCAGCAGCAGCATGTGCGACTGCGCGCTCGAGGCCTTGTATTTGGGTGTCTGCTCACTCAAGAGCTGTGACGGCAGCGTTCACATGGAGTGGTGGTGAGAGACAAGCTGAGACAAGTGAAAACCCGGAGAGGCCGCGTGTCGATGAGGTAATTAAGTGAGGCAGAGTGTGTACATAAGCGTGCATGCTTACCGGCTGTCCACTATTGGAGCTTGAAGTCGGAAGTCGAGCATTACACTGATTGCTGTCTCACAACACCTCTCAGGTGTGTTCGCAAAAGACACCTTCAGCGAGCTCAACATGCACTTCCTCTATCGCACCATCTCCATGTTCTCCCTCCTCAGCAGGCTCAACCAACTCAACCGGGACAAGACCATCGTGTACCTCATGCAAAGCAGGAGCTTTGATGGTGGGTTCAGGAGCATTGCTGGCGCGGAGACTCACATCATGCAAGGTGTGGTGTGCCTCGTTTCCATTGTCCTTCTGACCTGACACTGACCCAACCGGACCCAGTGCACACAGTGTTCATGTGTACGGCTGTGCTCGCAATCCTGGATGGGCTCGTCATCATCAATCTGCCCACACTAGGGTGATGGCTTGTTAAATGACAGACACCGAGCAGTGGAATAGATGGGCTGTATGTACTAACGTGCACACATGGTCCATTCCTTCAACCATAACATCAACTGTCTCCAAGATGAGTGGAGCTCAACTCCCTCTTGGACATGATGATTGAAATCCACGAAACACTGAGTGGTGTCCCAGTATGATCCTGCCTCCCTACCCTGAACCTTCATTCCTCATCTAACAGAGATGCCAGCCCTCAGATCTCACTATCAGCTACCGCCTCCGAGCAAGCCACTCACCAGTAAGAGCTCGGTGCCATTGTCTGCGAAAAATTGAGTCTCAGGCAGATGGCATATGTGATGGTGTCCAAACATTGGGCAGAAGATATCATGTTTAAACTACTTTTTCCACTTGTTACAATTTAAGGACTTTTCTCCTCTTTTCTTGACTTTTTTGCTTGCTTGTCTTTTGAATGGACTTGTTGGACTTTTATACTATTCAACTCACAAAGGGCAAATTTCTCTAAGTCTTTAAGTTGGTCAAAAAGCTGATAAGAATGAATAAGTGCAGAAAAGTTCAGAAAAGTTAGCTAAGTAATCTGCCCTTTTCCTGATGGAATGGAGCTGCCTAGCATATGATGCTTGGACCGTTGGATAGACCGACCCTGCAGGGTCCCAACAGGTCAAGTCATAACATATTCTTACCTTAACTAATAGTGGGAAGGATATACCAGCCTAACTGGACACCTACAATAATGCAACAGATACTGTCCAATTGTTTCTCCAGATCTCATCGAAAGACCATGGGTATCCATTCTTGTTTCTAAATTACATTTTTCTCTTAAAACTTGCAGACAAAAATCATTGTTATATTCATCTCTAGCTAGCACTGAGCAAGCTCGCGGCCACAAGTCTTTACATGGGGGTCAAAGAGATATCGCATCATCACAATTGCGATCGCGGAGTTGGAGACATTCCGGCGGCCGCCTCCTCACCGGCGCTATCAGCTAAACATCTAGAAATAGAACCCTGGTGGTATTGAAAACAGCGGGAACTGAAATACTAGTGAATAACGCTACAAGCAGAGGAACTAAGGTAACCAATAACTGTAATAGCATACAGAAACAGTACACCAAAAAAATGGCCAAGACTTGTCACAACACCGACGCCCAAAACATAACAATAGAGAAATGTGATCAAGAGTATATGCATATGCAGCATATCTTGTCACCTTTTGCGCGGGTTTCACGTCACAATCCAATCTCCGTTCGCGGCCTCTTTGTTGGACGAGACGTCGACGACTCAGGTTTGGACGTTGGGAGCGGTTGTGGCATGTCTGGCGCAAAATGTACAGGAACCTTTGTATCGACCCATGAGCCGTATATCCTCTGAATGTCTTTGATAATTTGAACGGCGCGTTTCCCGTCAACGCCCAACACATCAACGATGGCATCCCTGACGTGCGTTGGGATTGACTCCATGCCATACAGCTTTTCTACTGCGTTGGCAATCACGAAATGAGGTAAAACATGTGAGTAGAGAGGAGGAAGCGTGTCGAAAGGATACTTGTGAGCTGAGAATTCTGTCTCGGCTGCAGGGAAAATATCAGGATAAGGTCCCTCGACAACAACAGGTCGATTGTATCGAATGATATTGGTGAGCTTATCCCTCAACGGAATTAAGCGATATTTAAAAACTCGTTGTGAACCGTAGGTCTTTGAATAGCGTCAGCCACGAAACAAAGAAAAATTGACCATGAAGACAACAGACCTTCATAATATCTTCAGCGGCACTGGTGGGTGAAGCCTCTAACAGTCGTACACGATCGTGAAACATATCAATGATATCCAACGTAGGCAGAATCATCAAGGCGTTCTCGTCGAATAAGTCATGCCACCTTGGGTCAACTGCATTCGAAACGTTGACGGTGAGCCTGCATAGGAAGGATATTCTCATCAAGGATGCTCACGAAAAACTAAATTCGTAGGTTCGTCCACATGCAATGAGTTGTGAGGAAAGCCTAGGACCCATTCAAGAACAGTCAACTATTAAAGGAATACTTAAATCTTGTCAAAATGCAGGAGGAACTGATTGAGACTTGCCCAAAGCTCCTTTGCTCGTGTACGCTGTGGAAGCAAGTGGCACACATCCACTTTCGATTGTGGCTTCACCTCCCGTGTAATCAAACATTGCCCGTTGTTCGGGTCTCTAAGTTCAGCCTGGCGCTTGGCTTCCTCCTTTGCACCTACGGATTCTCCGTCCCCTTTCCTAGACGGGTATAGCGAACGTGCCGAGCGTCGTTTTGAAAGTCCTGTTGGTGGTTGATAAGTCGAGTCCTTCCGTTCGTTGGGTGTGATCGTGGGACCCGGAGGATCATCAGCCGTGCGCATCGAGATATCAGACGTGATGGATGGATGCCTTGGCCTCTGCATGGGGAGAGAGTCTGTGCGCAGACGAGTTCTGTATCTAGTTTGTCCTAGAGGCACAAGAACTTGTGATCGGATTTGAGAGGGCGGTGGCATGGTGGATGAGTGTGCTGATACATTGCTGTTGCTAGGACAGTCAGTGTAGAATGAGGGAGAAGAGAGAGAGGGGAAAATGATATTAGATTTTGGGGACATGACGAGGATAAGGTGAAAAGGAGAGTAACTGGGCTGGGGAGCATGAAGCGCGTTGAAATGAGAGTGAAGGAATGTTTATACCAAAGCGATTGTCCACTTCGCCACCAAGGCCACATTCGTGATGGCGTGGACATGAATAATTATGAACACCTCAGAAACAATGGCCTTCGGGACAAGCCGTTCTTCAACGGGGCCACTTGCGGCAATAATTCAGTGGCAATTAGTGGCATGAAGGCCGATCATGGACAAGCTTTACCTTACAATTTGGCTGACTAGACTTGATATTGGTACAAAGAATACACGTCCCCAGAAGTGTCCAAAATCTATGTTAATCTACGGCGTACCCTGCGGTACTTCTCAACTTGTCCGTCGTTTGAAACGCAAGAGGCCCATCCACCAGATTTCTTCACGTCACTGATGCACCGTGCGACCCAATTCCTTATGAAGAGGTCGATTTCGCCTTCAGACATGGGATCAATGTCCGAGCTTGGGTCTTCGATACCAGCTCGTGAGGAGAAGATGTGCCTTGCATCTCGACTCGAGTCAGAGGAAGTCGAGGTATCGAACCTAGCTGCAGTGAGGCTAGGGCATGAACGAATGCCCACATGCACCTCAGAACTGTATAGATCATCAAGTATAAGATCATCATGTGGGCCTCTACGCCGTTTTCTTGAAGAGCCATTTGTCAGCGCAAGGAAATCAGAACAAGTCGCAGAATCAGGCTCTAGACACCGTGTGGGACAAGGATCCCGTGTCGATGAGACAAAGCCGGCGGGAAGGGTAGACTCTGTCCAGGCTTCATAAGACTGCGATATGGCGGAGATGGCGAATTTCCCCTGTTCTGGCGGCACTCTGTAAGTACGAGCTATACTCTCGACGACTAGGTTATAGTTTAGGTTTGTCAACGAAAGAAGCAAGGGGCCTGCATGGCATGCGACAAAGTGAGGCTTCAGTTTCGAGACAATGGGCGGCAGGGTATAGAACGGATATGTGGAGTATACGTCGCCTGCCGGGTTGTCAGCGTATGAGGCATCTTTATGAAGTGGGATGACGCGATATTCGAAGGTATCCTCTCCCTCGTAGAGCTGTAGGTTTTGATTTTAAGTTCAAAAAACGAGCCAATGGCGAGAAGCACGTACATCCTCAATTGAAGAAGAGACGCTATCCATATCGAGCGCAACATCGACCCAGCGTTTCCATAACTGCTCCATGATTTTCATCGAAGGCATCAACGTACAGTCACCAGATTCAAACAATTTGCGCCAGTCTTCCCTCACTGAAGATACCAAATTCCAGTGACAAGCGAGACAAGACAGAAAACCACACTCACAATAAACGGTGTTCTCGACGGTATCCAGTTGTATTGAATTGGATCTCATTCCCCAAGACCATTCGAGATGTGATAGCTACAACCTATTTCAGCGCATAGTATTTAGGACCAGATGTTTACGAACCAAATAGTGATCGATGCCTTGACGGTCGTGCAGCATATAGTACTGACGGATTGTCGATTCTGGTACAGAATCTCCCGTGATAAAGCATTTTGTGAAGGAGGGAATAGGCTCTGCTTCTGAAAGGTCTGCAGTAAATCCAGCTGCAGTATGACTTCGACATGAAATGATGTTCAGATGCGCATCAGAAGTATCTGGGTCATCAACATCATCATCAGAGTATCTGAGTCGATTTCTTGAAGGGCCAGATGGACACGGGAGGGCATCAGGGCAGGCTGTGGTGTCAGTCTCCAGGCGCCGGGCAAAGCGAATAGTCCGTGGAGAAGAGACGAATTTGACGGGGGTGGATGAATTTTTCCAGGCTCCATAAGACTGGGCTATCGCGGAGATAGCGAATTTTCCCTGTTCTAACGATACTCCGTATATGCGAGATATACTCTTGGCTGACAAGTCATAGTGTATGGACGACAAAGGGAGCAGTAGGGGGCCCGCGTGACATGCGACAAAGTGAGGCTTCAGCTTTGAGACAATAGGCGGCAGGGTGTAGAACGGATATATGGAGGATACGTCGCCTGTCGGGTTTCCGGCGAATGAGGCATCTTTATGAAGTGGGATGACGTGATATTCGAAAGTATCCTCTCCCTCGTAGAGCTAAAGGTTTTGATTAGAGAATGAATGATCAATACGACCGGTCAATGTAGGAAACCACGTACATCTTCGATTGAGGACACGCTGTCAAGATCGAGCGGAACGTCAAACCAGCGATTCCATAACTTCTCCATGATTTCCATCGAAGGCATCAGTGTACAGTCACCGGATTCAAACAATTCCAGCCAATCTTGACCCACTAGGCATGCCTATTCTCAGTGGCAAGCTAAACGAGCTATGGAAACCACACGCACGGTAAAGAGTGTTCTCATTGGTATCCACTTCCATCGAATCGTATTTCATACCCCAAGACCATTCTAGATGTGACAGCTACAGCATATCTCAGCGCAACATGCAGTTCAGAGATAGACAGAGACTGACTAAAGGGTGATTGATCCATTGACGTTCGTGGAGCATATGATACCGATGAATTGTCGATTCTAGGACAGAATCTCCCGTGATTTGACATTTTGGCGATGCTAGAATAGGCTCTTCTATGATTTGTGGAACAAATGGAGTATGCTCTTCTTCTGGAGATTCTGGGACGTCCATAGTTGGGGATAAGGATCGTTTCATTCGATCTAACGTCTGTATGTTCAGGCCGTGTGCAAGAGAATCAATACCAGCAAGCGAACTGACCACGTAGGGGCTGTGTGAAGCGTGAGATGAGCTTCTGGAATGACAGGTACATTTTCGTGAATCTGCAGAGTAGAAGATGGGCAAGGCTTTCAGCCGCGAAAGCTTGAACTAGTCACTATTGGTGTTGTTGAAGCGTTTGTGCCACTGCCATATAGGCACGTGAAGCACCTGACCCTCGTCACGCGCTTCCTCGCGTGTCCCTTCAAGATCGTCGAGTGCCTGCTCACGTCTGAATAGCCCAGAGGATGATTGTTCCTTGACTTTAGCATCAAATAATCTCACTTGCGATGGCACCGTTGTAAAATTGTGGGGGAAAAAAATCCTGAAGAGCGAGGTCTTGTATCAAGAATCGGCTTTAAGGGAGGCTGATTGTGTTTGAAACCTTAGAGTAGACCGAACATGTTGACTCGAGAAAAAGTATATACAAGTTGATAACAATAGCGCTACTGGCATCTACGTGCATGCGTGACTGGCACATTTGTTTACCGGTACATCTGCCCTTAGTGGTGGCAGCGTGCTTGAAGAATGTCGATCATATCTTGAATCTAACATAAATCGATAGGATTTTATGCTTTCAATGAGACTGCAGGATGATAGAGTATAGTCCGCCATTCTGTTTGATAACCTCGAACACCAACTCTCCTATCTCAGCGCCAGCCCAATACGAAGTCACGAATCAATCTATACGCCGAGTGCTAGGACTAACAAGCTGAACAAACGAGATTGTCTAGAAGTCATAAGAACCGCACATATCACTTCTTTCTCAACCTTTTCGAAGAACGCGCGTCGTCAACGTCGACGTCCAATTCTCCATGATCATACACAGCCCTTTGCTGATAATAACAAGATAAGAAGTCAATCTCGTCCGGGCTACGGCCCCTGCTTCGTTCAGGAATCAGAGCATTGACGCTCGCTTCGTTGTCTAAGTTGTCTTCGTCGTTCGAGGGTTTCTCGCGATAGGTTTCATCGTCTGAGGTTTCGTAGACTGAGGTTTCGTTGGCGGAAATTTCGTTGGCGGAAATTTCGTTGGCTGAGCCTTCGCTCAAGGTTTCGTTGTCCGATTCGTCGGCTGAATCCTCGGGTTGATGACTAAAATGCTCGAGAACAATGGCATCGCGCCAGGAGCAATATAACTGCACGATATCCTCAAGATATGCGGTCGCTTCCTCAGAGTTTAACCCGAAAGCTCTGCGGACAAATTTGACCAGATGCTTCTCCAATTTTTGGAGTTTCTCCAACTTGGCACCAGTGTTAACGATGACGAAATGAGGCAGCACATGTGAGATGAGGGGCGGAAGTGTGTTGCACGGGTGACTGTGCCGCTGCATTTTGGTTTGGGCAGCAGACCTTTTTGTTCTGCCTCGACAATTCAACCTACAAATGCAGGTCATATTAGTCGCTAAACAGATCATGCGATATTCAAAGAATATTTGTTGCCCGTCAACGTAGAAAGACGAGCAGTAAGTCATGATGATCGCAAAAGAATCAACAATGACCGACTTCGACGATGTCTGGCAAGTCATCCGGAGAGAAGGAGAGACGGGCTACGAGCTGCGCAACAAGATTAGGGCAAGGGAGCATCGCCCATATGCTGGCATCGAAAAGTCGATGCAGGTTTGGGTCCACTAGAGCGGCACGTCAAGACCAAATGCATATGGAGAGCAGATGCAACGTACAGAAAAACAAGTTCCACAGCTCATCCACGTGCAGCGTCATATATCCTTGGCTCCACATCCATTCCAGCCGCATCAACTTTGAAGTGGTGAGATGCATATTCGAGAACTATGACCATGATACTTACCAGGACTCTGTTCCTTCTCTCTTTTTGCGCCAGCAGGTGGCAGGCGTCCACGGTCGATTCGGGCGAGAAATTGAGGGTGAGAAGGCATTTTCCTCCATGGGGATCCTCCACCCGTGCATGCTTCTTAGCCTCGTCACTGGCGCCTTCAGGGATAATGTTTACGGGAAGCGTAGATGGAATATTGTGTATTGCGGCGGAAGGGTTTCCTAGGTAGGGTATACGTTGGATCGTGTGAGGACTCGGTTTCCTCGTCCAGCGATTCAACCGACTCTTCTGTGTCTGAAACTTCCACTCCCATGATCTCATACGCCGCATCATCCGGTTGGCCCAGAGCGGTTTGATTTGACGACGAAGGCGGGCCAGTCACCTCAGGATATGGTCTACGTCTCTTTTGACCCTTATGCAGAAATGAACGATTCATGAAGTGCGAGGTGGCCGCGCCGGAAACTGTAAAGGACGGAAAGCCACGTAATCGAGACCGCCAAGGCGCCGATCCGGTAGCTGATGCCTCTGAGTGCGAAACACACCCAAGAAACACCCCTACAAGTGCAGGTAGGCAGGAGCTGGTTCTAGTATGCAAGGAACTATAAGCTGTGCAACAACCAACAAGGGAGCGTACTAACAGTGTTTGGAGTGTAGTGAACAAACAACTCCAAAATCAAAATATTCGGTCAGTAGGTTGGTTGGTTGGTTGGTTGGTTGGTTGGTTGGTTGGTTGGTTGGTTGGTAGGTCGGTCGGTCAGTCGGTCGGTTGGTAGGTTGGTAGATCAGTAGGTTGGTCGGTTGGTAGGTTGGTCGGTTGGTAGGTTGGTAGGTCAGTTGGTCGGTGTTTGATCAGGATTTGATCGGGATGCAAAGGGAAAGGAATGGGTGCAAGGCCACACTGGACACTGGCAGGGGATGACAAACTAGATGAGAGGGAGAGAGTAAGACGACGAGGGCTCTGACAGAGGGCTGTGATCAAATGCAACAACACAAACAAAGGGGAAAACTGTGAACAAGGATCGGAATGCAATAGCTCAAAGTCTTATGAACACAAGCGCACAAATGGAATCAGAACAAGGGGGGAGTCAAAGCTGCTGTATTGCAAGGCCATAGGTGCCCTTTTATAGTAAGTCCGAACAGGTACAAGATAAGGAGATCGGCAGAGGCATAGAGCAATCGGAAATGTGTGCCAAGAGTGATCAAAGGTAAAGAAGATAAGGAAGTGATGTTGCAAACACTATAAAATAAGAAGCAATAACTCTAAAGTCTAAATAAGTGGGAAGATTGCCAAGGTGAGTGCACATGGACCTGGAGATAGGAACCACATGCCACATGGGTAAACCATTTAGAAACTTGGGAGCTCTGAAGATAATGAAGGATAGGTCAACAGAAGGCATAAGGACAATAAGAAATAGAAAGACAGATCTGTTCTGAGTCAACAAAGTGTTCAGCCACCTCTGATTTGGGACACCAAAGCCGACTGAATGTGCCGACCATGTGAAGTGTACCGAACCGATTGGCGATCAGCTGCGACAGTCTGTGGAGAGCCCCTACTGCTGAGAGTGATGACAGATGTATCGGATGACTGTGAACAGCTCCGAATGACTGTGCAGAGGTCTAAATGGAAAGTCAGCACCTGGAAAATCGCTGAGATCGCTGAACAGGTTGGGATTGGTTGGTCTTAAGTGTGCGGAACGGTCAAAGAGTACTGAAAAGCTGTGAAAAGTGGGGTATTGGTGCTTAGAGCATACCCATGCTCATCAACGTACCACGTCCTGGAGAACATTCCGTGCCTGTATCAAATCCAAGAAGGCCTCTGCACACGGTCGTGGAACGCCCTCCTCCAAGACAACAAGAGGTTTATACAGTGCCTAGTCATCCCTCAACCTCCTCCTCTTACCAGGTACAAAACATTCCCGTATCCCAGGGTGGTACTGACGAGGAGGAGCCACCCATCTATTGAAGGAACAAGGGAAGGAGGATTCGAGGAACCCAGGCAACTCTCCGATGTGGAACAACTGTTGGCCAGGGTATTTGACACTGGCCTAGAACGCCTCCTACTGGTACTCAATTTCGTGCGGACAAGGGACAGGATAACCGAAGTAGCCGCCAAACTTGCCATACTGATTCAGAGACTCAAACAAATTGCTCTTGGACTTGATCCAAGCTCAATGTGTGGGACGCTCTAGATGATCCCAGAAACTATGATAACGCAGACCCCTACCCCTACTATTGACCCAATGAAGGGGGCGACGGTTATCAATGACTTTACAATTATTAGTGGGTATAGACAAGGGCAAGAAAGGGGGTAAGGAAGTAGAGGAACTCCTTACCCAGGAGCATCTGAAATAGGGTCCGAAATGACCTAAAACTAGTTCATCCACAATGATGTGAAACTAGGTTTTGCCCACAATGATGTGAAACTAGGGTTTGTCCGCAACAACGTAAAACTAGGTTTGTCCCTCATGACGTTAAACTATATGCCCTTATCTGAAAGAGATGTTAAACTACTGCACGTCCAGAATGACATCTAAATTATCGGACCTGTATGTTTTGAAACTGTGAAGGCAGGGGAAGTACCTGACCACCAGTTCATGTTTCTGAGATGGCAGAACCATGGTCACACAAGCGGGCATAATTCCATGTACAACCTATGGCGGAACTCTTTCATATCCTCGCTGTCAAGGAGAAATCTAACAGATGCACTGAGTGTCCTATTTGGATCCTCAGTTTTACAGGGTTTTTTCCGCATTAGGGAACCCTCTACATGACAAATCTCTACTTGTGTATTAGGTGTCAACAAGCCGGCTCTTTGTCTTGGTACAATGAAGATGCTCGTACATAATTGGTGCAAGTCCAAGGCCAAGAACATTATGATGCATAACCATAACTCGTTAAGTGAACCCTCACAGTCAAGGTCTGACTAGTGTTTGGACATCCCACTTTGGATCTCCAGTTTTACAGGATCGTTTCCGCATTAGGGAATCCTAACTGCTGACGCATGAGATAAGTAGAGTCCGGGCTACCTCTACTTAACACGCTTCCTCCAAGGAATGTGAGGCCACAAAATACATCCGGAACAATGTAAAACTACCAAAGGCTTGGTCCGAAATGACTATAAACTACTAAGGTCCGCAATGACATTAAACTAGTCCTTGTCCGCAATGATGGAAAGCTACCCACGTCCAAAATGACAACTAAACTATTGACAACCCAAGGAGCGTGGTTGTATTCTGGTGAAGCGCGGATTTTTCGGGAAGATCCGCATTGCAGAACCCTGCCTATAAGTGGTTGGAGCACTTTTGATGTTCACTTGCTTTTCAGTAAAAGAACATCAGATCATCTTGGTTCAAATCCAAGCAAGAGGCCTGGGGATGAAGAAGAGCACGCATCTCTTCACGGCGTGCCCAGTCTAGTCTTAGAGTCGAAGTACAAGAGATTCTGCTCCAAGACCTAGTCAGGAGGCAACTAGGACATGTGCCTCGAGTCAAAAATCTAGTTGGAAGGGACTAGATCACATGACTCCCTTTGGCTTGCATAGTGGAAGAACAACAGGAGTTGACCACTCATCTGGGAAAGTCTATTCTGCGCGCATCCAAAAAGACGTTAAACTACCATCCCTCTGTTCTAGGGATCATAGGATGTCATCTAAAGTTATGAGATAGCATCACGTCCGCTAATGAGCATGCATCCACACTAGGGTCTGAGGGAGATATTTGGGAAACTTTGGGGAGATACCGAACAGCGCTAGACAAGTACCGAAGACGCCGACTATTACCAAACACGGTCGGTCCCTACCCGACCAACAACAAGCCACCGAAGGACATTTGGCAGCACTTGGGTCAGTTCGCCCACACTTCACGTACTTACCATGACTGCATAGGAGTGTTACGATAGATGTTTACAAGATCGGAGCTAATATTCCGTATCGGCCGATGTCCTCCATAAGTCGGTTGGTCCTTATTGCTTATCTTCCCGACTTCCACATGGTCGGTCAAACATGATCTTGCACCATTACTTGGCTACCCTGGTCATACAATATGTCTTCTTTATGTTCATTGGTTCTCCAACGCCTGTTCCGGCTACCTACACTCAGGCGACGGATCCCGAATGTTTGGGATTTCGCCATCGCTGATTAACTTCTACCTTGTCACCTTTGGAACCCATATGGACATCTCACCTACCTTCTTATCTTCTCTAATTGCTAAGGCTTGGCGCCCATTCAACATCTACTCTCATTTCTTGTTTAATATTTTACTTAGGGGCTCTGTTTACTATAAAAACCTACATACACCTCTGGAATAAACCAGCTTTCGCACCCCACCATTCAGAGCTCATTTGCACTTGTCTCAACCACTGAAATTATCTCCATCAACTTCCGAAAACTTGTCATCCTCGTCGTTTGGCCTCGTTCGTGTTCGTACTCATCTCTTCGCTTGTACCCCTCATCCTCTCTTGTATATTGTCAGAGTCCTGTGTGGCTCTTGAAGCACATAGTTGTCAGTCACGGCACTGCTTTCTTGTTACCGGCCGCATCGCCGGCACGACCGACCGGGCGTTTGGTCGGTGTTCGGCGCAGTCCCAAAACCGTTCGGGCGCTATAATCTCACACTCCCTGTTGCTTCTCAGTATGCCTTCCCTTTCCAAAGTCATCACTAACAATTCCTTGTGTATTAGATACTAGCTCCAGCACCCCTGCATTAGAGGTTGTTTTGGTGTTGTGCTTGGCACTTAGAGCCACCTATAGTGTATCATTTTGGAGCCCACCGCGAAGGGTTAGTATTCAAAATTACCTCAAGGAATCTACGTCGCTCGTCCCAACCAACAGTGGAGCGCGAAGAATGACAAACAGTTATCGACAGCTTCAATACTCAGGAAACATCTGCCAACCAAAGTTTGTTCGGAGACGCCAATATAGTCCTGGAGCATCTATCCCACCATCACTATCTTGATCTTGAATCCTTGCCATTGCTCTTGCCGCCACCCGACTCCACTTTCTTCTTAACCCCACCTTCATCGCTGAACCGATCGCTACTCCCGCCGATTTCCCCCATCCTTGACCTTGCACTCTTAGAACAATCACCCCCGTCTCCTATACCATCTCTCCACAACTCCATCTCTCTGTTAATCCCATGCAGCCCCATCTTCTGGACACCGACCATCCGACTAACTTCGCTAGAACGCTCCTTCGAACCAGCGACTCCATCACCGATCACCTTAGCAAACAATACCTTCTCCCCCACCTTTGACTTTCACACTATGGTGACCCCATCCATGCCCACTCGTGGAGATCGAACGGCTCCAACCTTTGACCCCCATCAACCCCACGAATTGAGCCGATATTTTGCCAATCTTGACTTCCACTTCGTTTGGTCTGTGGTAGAAGATGAGCAGGAAAGGAAGAAACACGCTTGCTGATTCCTGGACGTTGACACTTACGAGCTTTGGGAATCGCTCACCACTTTCACTGACACCACGAAGACATTCAAGGAGTTCTGTGAAGAAGTCTACAGACTGTACCCCGGATTGGAGGAAGAGCACAAATGGTCGGTATCAGATATGGACAAGCTAGTCAGCGAAACGAGCAGGGTTGGCATCTTGTCTCTCAGCGAACTCGGCAACTATCATCGGCAATTCCTGGCGATCACGGTATTCCTCCTCAGCAAGGCACAAATCTTGGTCGCCGAACAAGGACGCGCCTTCGCTAAAGGATTCCAACCGGAGCTATGGGCAAGAATCTCTCAACGTCTACAACTCAAGTTCCCCGATCATTTCCCAGACGACCCGTACAACCTCTAGGACATCCACAATGCAGCCCGATTTGTCTTGCACAGCACCACGTCCGCCTACAGTACGACCTCTACCAATGTCTCTCGAGCAGCCCCTGTCACGCCGCCCACCAACGCAATCAAAGCCAAAGACCTGGCAACCATGTTCGAACAACTCACCGACACTTTTGTCAAGGCCATCGCAGCTCAGGGGACGTCCAGGCCAGCCAATCGACCATCTCGACAGCCAGGACAAGGAGGCGACAACTGCATGTTCTGCGGCAGTCCCGAACATTTCATGCGTGCCTGTCCAGAGGTCACCAAATACATTCGGATTGGCAAATGCAAGAGGAATATCGAGGGGAAGGTTGTATTGTCAAGTGGGGCATTCGTACCCAGAGAAATCACAGGTAGTAACCTGAAGGACCGAGTTGACGAATAGCATTGCAGGAATCCAGGACAGTTGGCGACTGGACAGATGATGTTCACGGTAAATGCAGCACCGACTCACCCCTCATTTCTGGATGTCACCCCGACTTACCAACTCACCAACGTCCAGCGAACCGCAAGCCTTGAACGCGAACTATTTGCGCTCCGAACGCGGGGCAGGAAGGCACGTAAAATGGCGCAGACAGGACGTTCGGCACTTTCTCCTTCACTGGCTCCCAAACAACGAGCAAGGACTGAAACTCCCAAACCTAAACCCCGACCGACGACCCCAACTCAGTGACCGCCCCCGGTACCAGCCAAGGACGATGCTCCGATCCACCCATACACCAAAGCCCAGGACGCCACTTATGCACCACCGCACGAGTGCAACATGGGAGCCCCAGCAAAGATACCATCGGCAAAAAAGGATGCGCCAGCCTACAAGACTACGGCGCCGATCTATGATGAGAAGGTAGCCGCCGAGGTCTACAACAGGGCGATGGCCACTTAGGTGACACTTATACAGCACGAACTACTCTCCCTCTCCACAGAAGTCCATTTGCAGGTCAGGGAAGCCACATCAGCGCACCAATCACCTACCAAAGACGCCAGCAATGTTTGGACCTTCTACCAAGATGCTGATCTACCCTACGCCATCGACAATCTCAAACCACCGACTCGACCGACCGTCTCCTCCTTTGTCAATGTCCTGCACCAGCCTGAAACACCTCCACCTGGTGCGATCATCATCCCTGACACGTACGAAACATATCTGAAGAGTCTACAGCCTGGTCAGGTTCCTCAGCTGTTGATAGTCGCTAAAGAATCTTCAGCCCTAAGGTCCATTGTTCCCCTCGTTGATCACTAACAGGAAGTTGAATGCATCATCGACCCAGGTTCACAAGTCATCGCTATGTCAGAAGGCATTTGCAACAAACTGGCGCTCATCTACGACCCCGAAATCGTCCTCAATATGCAGTCGGCAAATGGCGAAATCGACCGATCCTTGGGACTTGCACGCAACGTCCCATTCCTCATCAGTGACATCACCTTGTACCTCCAAGTCCACATCATTCAGAACCCAGCCTACGACGTTCTCCTCGGTCAGCCCTTTGACATCCTCACCGAAAGTATCGTCAAGAATTATTCAAACGAAGACCAGACAATCACCATCAGTGACCTGAACACGGGACAACAAGCCACCATTCCAACGATCAGACAAGGACCCCCTCAAGTCCTTCACCAAAGACAAGCAGGTTTTTGCGATTTGATGAATTGATCCGAGATCAAGGAGAAGTTGCACTGATCATTTCCACTGATCATGATACCCCTAATTTCCCAATTATCGAAGCGTCCTCAGATTTCCATTCTCCATCTCCCTCTCGTCATGATCTTTGTCTCAAGTATATTATGGCCTCCAATTTGGGGCCCGAAAATCATCTCAAAAACAATCTCGATTCCGATATGTCGTCCTTATTTTCCTCAGTCGTCCCCGGTTCTTTCCATTCCACTAATATCACCGACCCAGTCGCCATCTTTGCTGCCAAGCGCAAGTGCAAACCGGTCGCACAGAAAACGCAACCAATCTTAACCGACCTCCCCAAAAAGTTCCGAATCATTTGGAACATCCTTGGTGACCCTCTCACTACCCTTCCAACGCCGACACCAAACCCCCCACCCTTCACGCTGACTGGCAGATACACAGCCAAATGATGCGACCTCATCGACAAAGTCCACTCGGATGACTTTCTTTGGCCCGCCGAACAACAGCTCATGCACCATTTCATGTGTCTACAAGAGATGGGATTCGCCTGGGACGATTCAGAACGTGGACGTTTCTGCAAAGAATTCTTTCCTCCAGTCAATATGCCGGTGGTCGAACACAAGCCCTGGGTTCAGTGCAACATTCTGATTCCACCAGGCATCTACGACGAGGTGTGCCGACTTATCAAGACCAAGATCGCTGCTGGAGTCTATGAGCCGTCAAATTCTTCCTACCGATCATGCTAGTTTACAGTCATCAAGAAGATGAATAGCACCTCCACTGGCACCAAACTCCGAATCGTTCACAGCCTCGAACCCCTGAACGCCGTCACCATCTAGCATTCAGGTGTGCCCCCATATACCAATCAGATCGCTGAACAGTTTGCAGCTCGCGCTTGTGGCAGCATTCTGGATCTCTATGTCGGCTATGACAAAGGAGGGCTCGCCAAATCATCTCGCGACTTCACCACGTTCCAGACCCCATTTGGTGCCCACCGACTCGTCACCCTGCCCATGAGATGGACAAATTTGGTCCCGATCTTCCATGACAATGTCACCCACATCCTCCAGCCAGAAATTCCAGACACCACCATTCCTTTCATTGACAATGTTCCAATTCGGGGCCCGCCGACTCGATACAAACTTCCAAACGGGGGCTTCGAGACACATCCCAACAACCCCGGCATACGACGATTTGTGTGGGAACACTTTCAAGGCCTCAATTGGGTGGTCCAGCAAATGAAGTACAGCGGAGGAACATTTTCGGGACACAAGGCGACACTCTGTGCAGCCAAAATCACGGTGGTTGGCCATTGCTGCACGTACAAAGGAAGATTACCCAACGAGTCGAGGGTAGAGTCAATTATGAAGTGGGGACCTTGCAGGGATCTCTCGGACGTTCGGGCATTTCTGGGGACAATTGGTGTCGTTCAGATCTTCATTCGGAATTTTGCACACCGGGCGCATGCACTGACTATGTTAACGCGCAAAGATTTTCCATTTGTGTTTGGCCCAGACCAGATAGCAGCCCAAGACGATCTCCGGTCAGCACTGCTCGAATCGCCAGCCCTTCGACCAATCGACTATGGGTTGGCAGCCAATGTCATCCTTGCTGTCGATACCTCACAAATCACGGTCGGCTTCCACCTCTGCCAATGTGCACTCGACAATCCATGGGTCTGGTACTATGCCCGATTCGGCTCCATCACCCTTAATGACCACGAATCGCGATTCTCCCAGCCGAAGCTCAAACTCTACGGTCTCTTTCACGCACTCCGATCACTCAAAATGTATCTCATCGGCGTTCGGAACCTGATAGTCGAAGTAGACACACGCTACATCAAGGGCATGCTCACTAACCCGGACCTCAAACCCAGCGCTAGCATCAATCAGTGGATCGTCTCCATCCTCACCTTCCATTTCACACTCGTCCACGTCCCCGGCACCTCTCATGGCCCTGATGGACTCTCCCGGCGACCACCACAACCCACCAATCGACCCGAACCTGAAGACAACTTTGACGGCTGGATCAACAATCTCTATGGCTTCCTCCATCAGATCAACAATACGTTCCCCACCGCCATCTCAACTTCGACCACTGCCATCTTCACCTCCTCACTCGTAGGCGACCCCCCGACCCATACCAACTCCGATGACGAAGGCCTGACTATCAACTATTCGGATATCCCAAGATTCCAAAAAGTGTTGGAAGCGGAAGAATGCCTATAGTCGGTCTGCGACTGGCACCGAACATTGGTTCGGCCCCCCTCTCTCTCCGACTCCGAATATGCCACCTTCCTACGATATTGCACTGAGTTCTTTATCATAGCCGACAAGCTATGGAGAAAAGACTCGCACGGGCAACACAAAATTGTTGCAGCCCCTTCGAGTTGGATCACAATTCTCACCACTGCCCATGACGACGTTGCTCACAAGGGATTCTACGCCATGACCGCTTTGATTGCCGAACGCTTCTGGTGGCCACACATGAGGCAAGATATTTCTTGGTTCGTTTGGAAATGTCACCTTTGCCAGATTTGCCAGACTCGCAATGTCCTCATTCCCCTGACCGTCGCCTCGCCCACACCACTCTTCGCAAAGATGTATATGGATACCATGCACATGCCGACCACCGGCGGTTTCAAGTATCTCATTCAAGGCCGCTGTTTGGTATCACACTCAGCACCACTTCCTTGTTGGTCACTTCCCACAGATTGCCTCGACTTCCTTCTCCATGCTCCTTCCATACAATGGCTGTCCAGTATCAGCAAGATAATTAGTCCAGTCTCAAAGAACACCCTCCTCATGAGGATCAAGGTGATGACAAGCAGCATATGCATCATGTGCAGCAGAGTAAAGACACTGCACACAATTGTGAAGAGTTTGATAAGGGACACCATGTTTCTTTGCAACCTTGGGAAGGCTAAGGCTGTTCTTTCTTAGTTCATTGATGGCTGCTTGGATTTGCTCTTCAGTATACTGGATGCATGGTTTATGCTTGTTGCATAGGATGCTGGGAGGCTTGTGTTGGCCTGTGGTGTGGCTGAAGAGGGGAAACAGTTTGGGGGACAATGTTTAGACACGACTTGTTGGGATGCCAGCTGGTTGCTGGTAGAGCTATGTGCAGAGAATGAATTTGCACTCCCCTTCTTTGATGCTCCATGCCCGAATGTCATGCTTGATACCTTGTATTTTCATATGAGTGCAACAACACACTGTGCGTTTTCTTCACATACCGGAACAAATATATATGGGCTACACTAGACTACATAAAAAAAATGGATCATCAGGATCCTTCCTCACATGCTCCAACTCATCCGAGGCGTGACATTGTGTTAGGACCGTGTCCTAACACGTGCTTGGCACATGAACAGAAGGGAAGGTCAGGTGCTTCCTCGGACTTGAACTATTAATGACTAGGACTGTGACTTGACACGCGTCTAGGCATGTGACTCAGGACACGGTCATGAGCTACGCACATGACTCGGACTTGGACTGTTTACCATTTACATGCTGATGCATGAACGCTTACATACTATGATCTCCTTTCTGCTGTGGTTACTAACGTCGATCGTGATCGAGTTCTATTTGATATTGCTGCGGACAGACATTTGATATACTTACTATATATGGTTACATCGAAGAGCCGCGGAGTATGAACAATGACTGCAGCTTACATGCGTCGATCATTGATGGTACTTAGCATTTAGAAGCACGGAACATATGTCCGTCTCGCCCTAAATAGCCCTGTACTATATATAGGAGAGCTGAGCTTCTTAGAAGCCTCAGCTCGTTCACTTTGTATACATCTTGATCTCAGCACTGCGCCCGGCGTTTGGCTACCTTCAGCTCACGCTTCGCGATCTCTGTCAGATCTAAAAGAACCATACTCAGTCTGACGACGCACTGGATTCGTCTCATTGCTCTTATCATTCTCTACCGCCTGCAACCTATCAAGGACTCGCCGCATATCAAGTCATCCGTTGGGATCCCTCCGAAGTTATCTGTTGTATTGGAGAGGACTTGTTCGTACCAGACGAACACCGCCACGTGATCAATCAGCATCTCCTTCGACTCTTCGAGGAGAAAATCAATACAGACCAGCCTTTCTTGGAACAAGCCCAAAGACGAGCCGTCGTCTTTATTTGTTGGGCCGTCACAATCAGCTTTAGCCCAGGGAACCCCTCTTAGTGCATCACGTGCACGTGACTAAGCCTAGCCAGCTTAACACATTGGGCTCGCAAAGACACATTTTCGACATTTAGGAATGTAAATCACCTTTAAAAAATCTCAAAGTTTCAGAAACCAAGTCTACACTATTTAACACGATTTATGGTCAAAATATTGAGGTCGATATGTCGAGCAATGAGCGAGAAACACAGACTGTCCGAACATCGGTATTGTCCGAACATAGGGCCAGTGATAGTACCAGTCCAACTGAAGTCCCTCCGTTATTACATAATATGATTGTTTGATAACTTCCGGCAATGGCCTGGTCCGCGTTTTCCCATCCCCACTCTCTCGCTGTCATCCATCTAGAAGATACCCGCGACCACCAATCTCTTGAGGACCTGGCCCACATCTCTCACCACTATAGAGGGCCATCTTCCCCTAACCAACAACCGTAACATTTCACTGAAGCGGACGCTATAAGCACCACCCGGGAACGTCCTCACGTCAGTAAGTCTCACTTGGAGCAGGGCTCCTGCCAAATGACTTATGTTCCAATTATTAATGCGCTTATTGTATCTTAAGTTCCATAGCTCACCATGTCAAGCTCACTCTTTCGCCGCATCCTAACCTCCCAGTCATCGGCTCTCCGCCAACGTTTCCTGACAACCACGATCCCTCCAACGCCACCTGCGAAGTCTAGCCGCATTTTTCGTACTCTCCGCAATGTATCAGTAGTATCCTCCCTAGCGCTTACGACATATACCTTTGGCGCTTTGTACCCGCCAACGCCGTTTACCTATCTCTCCCCCCGCATCGCGCCCCCTCCTCCAGACCCAGACCACCCAGACGCGCTCACCTATATCGCCTCTCTCGAGGAACAGCTGCACAAACTTCCTCTTCTCGCGCAGCACAGACAGCAGACCTCGCTGGAAGACGGAAACGCGTGGTACGAAACGCGTCCGTACATGAGCTTACCGGAGGAACGAAGAGTAAACAATCTGACTGCGGGTGCGTTACGGGGGCCGGGGAAGCTGGCTCTCCCACCATTGGTGAGAGCCAGGAGAGATGAGAGTGAAGGTTGGATATTCATACATGTTGGTCGAGGTCTTTGTGGGCACGATGGTATCATACATGGCGGATTGTTGGCGACGCTTCTGGATGAGGGCCTGGGACGTGTGGTGAGCTTTCGTTTCTTTCCATCTGCACGTTTTCAGGGTGTCTGACATGGTAATTATCTGGCCAGGCTATTTTGAATCTCCCAGATAAGATTGGCGTCACGGCCAACTTGAGTGTCAACTATCGGGCGCCTACGCGTGCTGATCAGGTATCTCCAATCCGGCATCTGCATTCCTTCAAATCCAAACTCACTCTCTTCAGTTCATCGTTCTCAAGACTCGCCTTGTTGAAGTGCAAGGCCGTAAGGTCAAAGTCGCAGGTGTAATCGAAGATATGGACGGCACCGTCCTCGTGGAAGCGACGTGAGCCTCCCTCCACTTAATCCCACCTCGAAACTCCCCAATATTGATAAGATGAGCAGCGCAACATTCGTTCAGCCCCGCTATTCTAAGCTTCTGAGCTCATCCAGCATCCACAAAGCAATGGGAGAACCGCAGAAAATCGCCACCTAGTCGCAGCGCGCAGCTGGCGAGGTGCTGCCCAATGTCGCTGTGAAGGCTTGATAGTCGACCGATCCGACTCTGCGGATCGACTCGTTGGGTATACAGCAGGCCGCCTTGCTATACTGACTGGCCCAGCCTGTATCGCGACGGGGGTCATGGTCGATGCTGGATGTTCTCTATTGGGTTACACACTCATTTTATGCTTGTTGTAATTGTGGGTCGAATCTATGAGTTCACTTATTCAGTCATCTTTGGCGACCCGTATATTCTTATGGCAAGTCATGTTTTGCATTTCTCGGGCTTCATGCTCCGTGTCTATGGAACTCATACCATACCAACGACGAGCGCAACATCTGGGTTTGACCTTGGTGGAGCTATGTGAGGCTTTCTATCTCAGTGGAGTACGGGGCCGTAGCTGCCAGGGCACGTGTGGCGCTGAATTTGGCGATTTTGTATTTTGTAGTAAGCGCCCAGTACGCCTAAGATACTCTCCATCGACTCAGCTCACCAACCTCCCATTCCCAGTGTCTTCACTTTTCTTCAAATGTCAATGGTCAAGCTCGACAGCGTGCAAAGATCCGACAAATTTCTTATAGAAGCGGTGCGCGATGCCTATAGTGACAAGGCTAAGAACGGCGCAGATTCATCTTGTGCGTCAACGTGAGCCGTACAGACTCGATATAGCACGGTGTTTACCATGCTATTGAAGATGTTCAGCAAGTCGCGGAAGCGTTCGGGTACAGCCTTCAGGATCTCCAATCGGTCCCTGTGGAATCTCATCTGGGACTGAGCTGCGGTAACCCTATAGCCGCTGCGAGTATCAAAGGGGTGAGCGCATACAGCACTTGCACCTGTCGGTCGCGATGAACTGAAACAGCACTGACGTGATTAGGGAGAAAATGTGCTGGACCTTGGGTCAGGCGGTGGCATTGATGTCTTCCTAGCAGCGTCCAAAGTTGGCGCTCAAGGACATGTCATCGGCTTAGATATGTCTCCAGTGCGTCATGCACCAATCCGTTCCTTCAATCTGCCCAGATGCTGACTTTTATCCCAACAATTTATTCAGGATATGGTTGCTCGAGCGCGGCTCAATGCCGAAAAGAATAACTTGCGCCCGCCACGCGTGGCTTTTGTTCAAGCACAATTGACAGAACCTTTGCCCATAGTCTCAGACTCTATTGACTGTGTCCTCAGCAACTGTGTTATCAATCTACTTCCGGGCAGCAGAAAGGCTTCGATTCTCAAAGAAATCTACAGGGTTCTCAGACCAGGAGGCCGCCTTGTTTTAGATGATGTTCGTGCCCAATGTTTAAAAAATGCTTGCGGTCTCTCATTCCTCCGAACAACTATAGATCATCGCAAAGCAGCCGCTCCCAGAATATATCCGCAACGATTTGGCTTCTTATGTCAGTTGCATCTCTGGCGCTATACAGGTCGATGAGTATCGGGTGCTTCTCGCTGCTGCCGGATTAGAAGGTCCTTTCCCCTTGGCTTTCGAATCGTGAACATTATGTGTCTAATCTCCGCGACAGACGTGGTCTTTGTGGACACCAAGGGAGACATCAACGTTTACTATCAAACGCAGCCTGCTAGTTCACCGTGCTGCAGTCCAGCGGCATCCTCTGGTCCTTCCAAGCCGACTCCGGATTTCAACGCCAATGAATGGGTCGGTGCGTTAAATATATATGCGCACACTGATGACATACGAGCCATTTTCCCCCGTTATGCAGCATCCTATCAGATTTACGCCATCAAACCTCAGCTCGAGGATTACGACCCTCAGGCCGGACCGACGGCACCACTGCTAAGATGGTGGGATGCATATCCGGATTCTGAATCCGCTGACCTACCGAGCCTGTCCGCCCAGGCTGTCGCAGAGCTCGTGCGCGATAAGACTAGGAAGGACTTTGCTGTCATCGACGTTAGGCGCAATGATCATGCAGTGCGTTGTCTCCCTGGTGCGCTCATCTGACTCGCATGTCTGACAGGTCGATGTGACTGTAATTGTCCAGGGTGGTCATGTGCGCAGCAGCTATCAGTGCCCTGCTCAGACGTTTTACGACGATCTACCTGAGTTTTACCAGCGCTTTAAGGAGGTCGAGAAAGTGGTCTTCTATTGCGGAAGCTCAAACGGACGAGGTCCACGTTGCGCTGGATGGTAAGTTTCCCGATCAGCTTTTGCCCGGCAGCGTTAATCCGGTGTATAGGTATCGCAAACATCTGATGGCAGTAGGAAATGCGAAGTCCCAGGCATATATTCTGGAGGGAGGAATCAAAGCGTGGCTAAAGGAATTTGCTCACATAGATGAGTTAGTCGATACAGACTGGTAGGGCTGATGGAGGTCGGACAAGGCGTACTTGTTGACCCACATTTATCTCCACTCACGCCCCACGAAGTTGGAATCAGCCCTCACAAGTGGAATACTCAACGTGGATACATCATGACATGAATCCACTTACCTTCCGTGACCGTCTCTGACAATCTTGCAGGACACGTTCACCTATTTTTGACAGCACTAGCACGGAAGCGGAAACTCCATTGCCTTGACACGAGCATCAAAATCGATCCCGACCCCTCCGGCTTTATACTACATTCCTCAGTGCTCCGTCCGCTCTGCCGGAAGCTCTGGAACCGTAGCTATCAAGTCTCTCGTGTGCACTACCTTCACAACATCTCCATCTATCGAGACAGCGTCCTCCTCCACACTTGCATGGCTTCGAAGATTGAGTCGCTTCTCCCTCCGTTCGTCACAGCGAGACAGGTAGAGGGTTCCCATAGCAAAGCTCACTATAAGACAATTACAATCACGTTTCGCAGGGAAAGTACAGAGAACGCACTCATGCCAAAGTTGATGCACGCTGTGGCGATATTACCCTTGTGTACACTGGATATGTCGTCAGACAAGTATTATGAAGGGCTTGCACCGAACGTACCGAGGCTGCTCAACCTGAGGAAATATAACGCTAAAAAATGATAGTCATCAGGGTCTGGATCTATGACCATGTTCGAGTGACAGGTCGTCTCACATCGGCAACCAAGCCTTTATTAAAAAAAACGTTAGCCTCGCGACATGTTCAGATGTTCTGCATTACCTGCACTACGTAAGCCCACATGTTGCACGAAGCGACCACGAATGATCTCTCTAGAGACAACCGCGTTCGCGTTGAGCGGCAGACATCAAGATATCCGGGCGACTTACTTTCACTGTCATTCCCAGTTAATTCGTTAGCCCACGCAAGAATCAATCCTGACAACCCGCCAGCGCAACCAGTCTGACAAGAAATGTGAGTTTTGTCAATTGTGACGCATGCTTCAATCTATCTTACGAAATAATAGAAGATCCATCGTCTAGCGACTGTATGTCAATAACTCTTCAAACAGTGGCACATAGTGATGTTCGACGACATACCTTGTGATGTGCGAATATAGAGGGGTGGAAGCAAGCACAATGTATGTAATCATCGACCAAGTCTATTTGATGAGCTAAATTATCATCTGGATCAAGCAATCCGCGCAAAAGAAGGAACTCGCCCCTGCAAACACCATAGGCGGCCACCGTTTACCTAGCCCATCACTTGTCCAGGCGTAGACAAGGGCTACAACCAGGTTGTCAAGGCGAGCCACCTTTTATAATTTCCGGGTCAGCTTGGCTTACTCGTGATAATTTGGACTGTTTGAATGCCAAGTGGATATGTATTGATTTGGCCCACAGTATAGACTGTATGGTCTGGCTTATTGAAACTTTTGAGCCTATATATCATAATTCGTGAATTGATACATTCTTATCGCAACGGTATAACGCATACCAGAAAATCATCGAGTTCGATCCACCGTTCCCATTATTGAACTGAGCGTAATCAGCATCAGTTTGTATAAGAATGTAACGAAACGCAGATGGACTCACCAGGACATATACTTGGATGATGACCGGGATCATGTCAGCAACGATATGTGTGTGGAAAACAATACCGGCTTACGAGGAACGAGGAGCCAAAGATGCCATGTCTTGAAAAACCCTAACACCTGACGATAGATGAGCAAAATCCGGGACCTTGCTCGACTTTATTATTCACCTTCGCTTTCGTAAAATGAGCAGGAGGCTTCCTCCCTATCTCTTCCATTCGCCTCTTCCCGATGTTGAGGTCTGCCTCAGTAAATATAAAGGAAGGCTTCGTGGTTGTGGGGAGATCAGGCATGATGAGGAAGCCGAGTAACGCGATGGGAATTGTGATGATGCCGTCGATGATGAACAACCCTGCGAAAAAAAGTTAGTATGCATATAATATCGGATTGAATAAAATTGCAAACATCTCCACCCCGCAAGTCGGTGGACTCCGTTCAGCCCCTTGTAAGCACCCTGCATAGATGCTGATTGAGACATCAAAGAAGTTTCTGGGTAATAGAAGTGACATACCGCTTGCAAAAACCCGCTGACCATCGGGCCCACAGCACTGGCCGTCTACCACGATCGTCAAGCCACAAATTTTGACACAAAGAAACTCTCACTTACATGAAATATACAAGCCCTCTTCGCTAGCTCCTCCTTTTTATACCAACTGCCGATCACATACTGTTACAGATCAATGAAGGAAGATACATGACTGAGTTCTTTAAGCGCATACCTGAATCGCCGGATAGAATGTAGACTCAGCAAGACCAACAAAGAAACGTATGGCAACGAGGGTTGCGAAGCTGTTGCTAGATGCGAGAACCATAGTCAAAGCGCTCCATATCAGCTCCATGGCGGGGATCTAGGTGATGAATGTGTTAGTGGACAGTTTTGAGAGGAGACAGAGCGTAAACGCACCCATATTGAAGGCCGAATGCGCGTAATGAGCAGGCTAAGGAAAGAAGCGTGAGCTGAGACAGTCTGCGATTCAGCGACACGCACTTGGATGGAATCTGGCCAATAACATATCCGCACGTCCATGCCGTGGTGATGTAGTTGAGCTCGTTTCCGTGTCTGTCGCAGAAAGCTTAGACGAGCAATCGACTAACAAGTACGAGACGTACAATCCAAGGCTAAAAAGGAGGTGATATTCAATATAAAGCAGGTAGTGTAAACGGAACTCAGGTACGCACTCCTCTTGCATCCCCGACACATACGCATTCTGAAAATAGGGTCAGATATGATGGAAGCACCGGAGGGCAGACTCACAGTGATATTCTGTTGGTCGAGATACTTGCTGAAATACGACAACGCTGCATATGTGATAAGGCAGCCGTCGAGTCGTCGCAAAAACTTCTGCTCTTCAGGCGACTTGTCCCATGTATCCCTAAGCTTTGATGAGTCCTTATAAAACAAGATCCACTCACGAAACGTACCAGAGATAGCTACTCCAAGAGCGCCTTTCAGATTTAATGGAGGACATGACAAGAGAGCTCAGCCCAAAAAGCTTAGCCTGAGTGTAGAAGGCGTCGACTGCTTAAGTATCTCAAAGATGTAGATTGGCTAGACAAAGGGGCAGACGGGTCGATTTTCGTGAGTGATTTTCAGTGCCAATGACACAAGAGCCAAGATTATTAGCCGGATTCCATGTACTGTGCAAGGTACGCCGCTGCAAGCGAGCAGAAACGACTTGTGTTGCTCAAGACGACGGAAAGATAGCTGAAGATAGCCATTCGTAAAGTGTGGCTGAAAGCATGCCATTGCACGTCAGTCTACTATGAATGCTTGCCATCGTGGCCTATTTGATCGCAATGAGGCAAGTAGCACCATCAAGAAGCGCGATGAGGTGACGAAGATAGACGCCAGATCTAATGATGAGTTTGAGACGTCCACTCCTTCATCAAAGAAAGCAACATTGAGGACCCAGATATGATAAATGCTTGCAGAGCGCAGCGGAGGGCCGACGTGAAGAAGTCATGGGTCGAAGTCAGTGTCATCGAAAACGGTTATGAGGTGACCACGGCTGACAAACAGGACACCAGACACATCAGGTCATCGGTTTGGTTATCTGCAACTCGACGGCCGAGGCGAAGAGTAGGATATAAAAGACTTCGAGAGGGGGTGAACGAAAGGTACTTTAGTTGCGAGCAGAATCAGCAGAACCGAAGAATCAACCAAGAACAACCAAGCCAAATCAAAGCACGTGATGCCTGCTCCTGTTTCTCTCGGTCCGTTGAGCGATTACTCCGCGTTCACAACGTCGACATAACTGACCCTCCTGACTATCCGTAGGATCCTACTCCTACGTCCAGGAGACGAAGGTACGTACTGGCGAGGGAACTTGTAATTTTTGTGGACTTTTCGACTGACTTCGAAACAGGAAAACCTTGATTGGGCCGAGCTCGTCACTCTTGATCTCTCGCTGTACGACACTCCAGGGGGCAAGAAGGAGTTGGCTAGTTTCCTTCTCAAGGCTCTTCGCGAGAAGGGCTTTTTCTACGTGAAGAACTTTAATATCTCCCAGGAAGCCGTCAACCGCCAGTTCGCTCTTGGAAAGGAGTTCTACGAGCTTCCCCTTGAAGAGAAACTCAAGTACGTACCCGAAGGTCTTGGTACGTCGTCTTCTATCTGTAGCTCTTAATTTAATCTAATCTTCCGAACAGATGACGGGAAGTTCAACGGATATGTTCCCGCTGGGCGCCGTGTGTAAGATCTTCCTCGGTCGGTCGCCTCCACGTGTTACTAATTTCGTCGCTCTGCAATCAGCGTGGACGCAGCTTCGGGTCTCAGAGATCGCGTTGAGGTCTACAACATCCCAAGTATGTCAATCATGCGGGGCTCAGATGCCTCGATCTGATGGTCTGCTTGATATAGAATTCAACGGCTCCTTCAAGCACGAACACCCTGAGCTCCTGAAGGAACACATCCAGGAGATTGAGACTTTTGCTAGGGTCAGCGTACCTTTATATCACTCGGCGCTTCATCTGACATGCAGACAACTATCCAGTCCCTTCACACTGAAGTTTTGGACCGTCTCCATGTACTTCTTGCCATCGCTCTTGAGCTACCAGAAGATTATTTCATCAACATCCACCAATACGAAGTGAAGAGCGAGGTAAGTTATCATTTGTTAGCCGTCGCGCTTCGCGCTGATGAAAACCTGTCCAGGATCACCTTCGTTATATGAAGTACAGCAAGTACACACCGGAGGAGAATGAGAAAATCGGCAACGTCTGGGTTCGTGGTCACACCGGTAGGCCTGACGCTTTTCCATTCCATTGAGGGGTTATCGACTGAATAATACGCCTTGCATGTCAGACCTCGGGAGTTTCACCCTCCTCTTCCGTCAGCCCGTCGCCGCGCTCCAGATCAGGGACCCGGTCCACAACGAGTGGAAGTGGGTCAAGCCGCAAGACGCCACCTTGACCGTGAACGCCTGTGATGCTCTCTCGTTCTTGACCGGCGGCTATGTGAAGAGCACCATTCATCGGTACAGTATTTTCGAGGAACAAATAGAGCACCGCCGCTCACGACGTCTTCATGTCCAGTGTTGTAGCTCCTCCCAAGGACCAGCAGCACGTCGACCGTCTCGGATTGCTCTACTTCTCTCGGTACGTTAACTGCACTTGTTCGCGTTTTTGGCTCGTGCTGACATTATCATCTTGTAGGCCCCATAACGATGTCGTCCTGAGAACTGCCAATGAGTCTCCTGTGCTGCAGCGAGCGGGTTACACCCAGAACTCGTTCGAGAAGTCTGGAAACCATGTCCCAACCTCCGAAGGTCAGCCTTACTCATGTTCTCGTTCTGCTCCGCGTCCTAATCGCCGCGGTTTCAGAATGGACATTCGCCAAGCAGAAGTGGCAGCGCACCAAGAACGTCCCGACGAACGACCCAAAGCACGGCACTGCCGTCATCCTCCCGGGCTTCCAGGAGCAACTTTACGCCTGATTGAGACGCAAAGAGGTATGAGAGGGGGAAGATGAAATCTGGATGTATTTATATTTTTCGCAGCTGTATCCTTTGTCCGAGTGTGGGATGGCAGCAAAGCAAGCCCATCGGCGTTGTAACATTTAGCTTCGTTCGCAGCTTCTGCCTTCAGTTTCGTCATGCGCTCCTATCGATGATTTAAGGAGGTCCGCGTGTTTGTTCTGCTATAACGATTGTGATATTTTTCGCTCTTCGTCGACAGTTGGCCTAGGAACTAGGCGAGGTGTAGATCAATTGTGGCACTGCCTTGATACGGCGAAGAGTTAGTGAGTTCAGTGAACTCTTACAAAACAGATTTTTAGATGACCAAGGTGTCGCCGACCCGAGGTCTGAAGGCCCCGTACCCAGCCTGACCCACCTTCCGACCATCCGCCAGCAGCCGTTAGTGACCCAGTACAAAGGCGTGTAGGCTTGTCAAGCAAGTTATCCGGATGCTCTGAGCATGCAACGCACGTTGTGGTCAGCACAAGGACAATATTTGCGGCATCCGCGATACATTCAAGCTGATTTGTAAGATCTTGTAAAATTCGGCTTTACTGGACAGGAACTCGAACTCGATGCCATGTGGCATCAACTGGCGTCAAGGCTGTCTCATATGTAGGGTGGGGAGTGAACCGATCCTCGAGAGAGAGCTTAGGCGGATGCGAGACGTACCAGTTTGGGGAAATTTTCGACACGCCTGCTAGATCGCTTAGTTGCAGTCCTCGCCTGTAGATACGGCAAGTCATGCGCTTCGAGCATCTTGTGAGCCGTCTTTGCAAAAGAGGTGAGATACACAGCCGCCCTGATCATATGCAGTTGCGATGTGAAAATGCGCAGAGAGATGCGGCTTGTGAGAAACGCCGCCGAGACCCAAGGCTTATGTTGACTTCTGGGCTGGCAGGCTCAGTTGATTGTGTGCCAAGTTGTTAGATAGCATACACTGATTTATGATCGCGCCACTCTATGACCATAGCCCATGTGATAAAGGTAAAGTTGCCGAGCTAGCATTGTGAGTCTTGGGCCGAGGTTGAGCGAGATAGCAGTGATTTGCGACCGGGGACCGGCGAGCGTTAGTGTCTGCGTGTCGCTGGGAGGATATGAGATCCAGTATAGAGAGATCGGGGAAGTGCCAGAATGAAAATTTGAGCGACCAATGTTCGATCTTGTTGCGATTACTATGAGCCATGTGCCTTTTGGCGAAAGACAAGGATAAATCGATGATTCAGAAACAAGCATTTGAGAGATGTGGAGAATCGAACCCACTGAAACATTACTGAAACGCCCCTTGGATCTGTCGGACTAACGCTAATAGGTGGGTGGAGGCGATCATGATCGAATATTATTGGAGAAGTGTGTGGTTCACTGGAAATTCTGGATCACATAGATATAGAACAAACATGGCGTTGAGCCGAAGAATCAATGGCACTGAGCGCTACTGAGCGTGGCGTGTGGTACGGTGGGAAATCTACGAGCCAGCATGGGTTCTGTCGGGTGTCGATTTTGAGGAATGTAAGTGGCTATCTTTTGGCCGCTTTGGGTTGGATAAGAGCTAAAGGGGAGAAGTAAACAGGGATAAACAATTGCCTGGTACTTTTCTTCACCGTCCTCAACAACGGCGACGGCGACGACAACGTTTACAGCGACGTTGACAGCCTCATGAAAGACGATGCAACAGAGGCTGCTCTTGGTCTTCTTGGTCTCAATGCTGCTTCCTCGTCCTCAATAATTCCGCGCAAAAGGACAGCCCCCGACGACGAGAAGGAGCCCGAGGGACAAAACGCCAACCCGGACTCCATCAACTGCATATGCGGCTCCGACTTCGACGACGGCTTCTCCATCGCGTGCGACGGGTGCTCTCGATGGTGTCACGCGGCCTGCTTTGATATCGTGGAGGGAGGAGTGCCAGAAGAGTGGCATTGTTGGGTTTGCTTGCCGAGGGACATCGACCGAGAGCGGGCGGTGCGGTTGCAGAAGGAGAGGCAGCGAAACGTGCTGAGGGCAGAGGCGGAGAAGAGGCGGCGGCATGTCAGTCCTGGTGTTGAGAGAAAGCAAGGCCGACGAACCAGCGCAGCCGCCATCGACGGCGGCGGCAACGGGGGCACTAAGCGCAAGCGACGAACGTCAGTCAACGTCCCGCAACAGTCCGCAGAGGACGAGCACATCGATATCGACGAGCCGTGGACGCACAGCTACGTTCACATCACGAAGAACAACATCCCGCACCAGGACACTCGAGACCGATTGCAGCGTCAAGCCCAACATTGGCGTGGCGTCACCGCCCTCTCGTCCTCGACGTCGTCCTCGCCCTTCGATACCTCCCCCGTCTCCCTCAGCGCCTGCTCCGACTCTCCCCGAACGGCCCTCTACCCGCTCTCCAGCTCGTCCTTCTCCCACCCCGTCTTATCGTCGAACACAAATCCCGCCGTCCGCCCTCCCTCATACGCGATGCGCACCTCCCGCCCCATCCCGTCCTCCAAGTTTATCACACCATTTACTTCCACCATCATCCCCTCTTCTGCATACCTCTCCGAACCTCTCAACGCATACGCCCACCACGGTATGCCGAAGCCATTCGTACATCTCTTTGGGCCACCGCTCGACGTAGCTTTGGACGCCCGCATACAAGGCAACGAAGCTCGGTTCGTCAGGAGCGGGTGCAAGCCCAATGCAGTCATCAGGCCTGTGATATGCGAGCAGGCCAAGTTAGATCCAGAGGACCCGCTCAAGTTTGGCGTCTTCGCGCTGCGCGATCTCAAAGCGAACGAGGAGGTTGTGCTAGGTTGGGAATGGGATGATGGGAACGCAGTTCACAGCCTGCCGGCTCTGATTGAATCTCCCCATCTCTTCGCGTAAGTGCTCGCTGAAACCGTCCGGGGTGCATATATTGACAACTACATAGTCCGCATCAGGTGCATCACCTGCGCAACCAGATGACATCCATGCTACATGCACTGAGCTCGACGTTCACGACTTGTGCGTGTGGGTCGAAGGCGAAGGATTGCGCGCTCACGCTCATGGCTGCTTTCGTTGATGGCGATCTTCCCAAATCTCATGTCAGACAGACATCTCCTTCACAAATCTCCTCCAACGTCAAGCTCGACCTTGGACCTCTCGTTGGCGTCGAACGCGGCTTCAGGACAAGGGAGAAATCACCTTGGAGCGGAGGGATGAATGGGGTGGAGATGGTGTCTCCAATCCAGCAGACGCAACCTATGGCTGGTCCTTCCACTGTGCTCAGCGACAGGAGGAACACAGTTGGCAATATTAGCGGGTTGAATTCGCGCAGAACACCGCTGCCGGAGCTGCGATTGAGTCCCGCCACCGGTTCGCCGACGCCCAAGAAAGACCGGAAGGGGAAAAGCAAGGCTCCAGGTGCGTACGTGGCAGCCTCCCCACAATGATCTCATGCTTATGAGCGTTCTGCAGCTGTCAACTCGGACGAAAGCGATCATATTACAGCCAATGGGCGCAAGTCACCTGTATCTAAACGCCGGTATCGACGCGTTACGATCGATTCGTCCCCTCACCGCTCGCCCTCGCCAGCTGACATCGAGGACGAAGACAAGATGCCGCCAAAGCTGCGCAAACGATGGATTCATCGCAGTGCGGAAGCTTTGAGGAACATGTCTTCGTCGGCGTCGCCTAGTGCCAGCGCGGCCAGCTTAGGAAGCCCAACGGGCACGAATGAGGTGGACAAGATGGACGTCGACACAGGTGCGTTTCCCCTTCGCGTGCCAAGTTTGTTCGCTCATCCTTTGCCCGATCCTTTTACTTTCAGACTTGCGAAATATGCCGCCGCCACCAGTTCCTTCGACCTCATCCGCTTCGTTGCCATCCCTCTTCCCCCATATATCCACTGTTCCAGGGCTGCACGCGACGCCTACTCATACACACCCTTCTTTCCCAGACGTTCCCGCTTCGCCTTCGCCTTCTACACCGTTTGCTAATTTATCATTACGCTCGCCTATCGTACCGGTTTCCATCTCGGTCCCTTCCCACCATCCCCATTTCAACCCTCACTCCCCTCACCTTCCCCGTCCATCCCTCTATCGTCCTTATTCTCGACAGAACTCGGGCATCCACGACCACGACCATGACCTTTTACCTGGGCCACCCAGCTCTGGCTTCTTTCCCACGGCGGACTCTTTTTCATCTCTTTCGTCTAAATTATCCAGTTCTTCGGTTTCCGTTCCAGTTTCTACCAGCAACGTGAGTGAGGGCATGCAGGGCGAGGGCGAGAGGCGTGATGACGATACCACGAACGATGTACGGATGGATGTTGACGAGGAGTTGACGGGCATGCAAGCTTTAGAAGGGAGCGGGGTGTCAGGAGAGGCCGCGCCGCGTGGAAGTGAAGGATTGATGGAAATTGTACTCGGGGACCCACCACATGCTCGACCTCGATCGCTTTCACCGCAGCCACTAGTGTCGAGCGAACCCATTCGACGACTAGATCCCGATCCACCGCCAGTATCTCGATCTCGGCCACTTGACGAGCAGCCGTCTCTAGTACCTTCGCATGCGCATCCCGATGCATACTTTTCACCGCGGCCTCGTTCGCCCATGCCGTCGCCCGCGCGGCGAACAACGACGCCCCCCACAGATAGTGAACGGTATACTCATCCTCCTCCCAGGCCGGTGACTCCTTCCCCTCCACACCACTCTCCCACGCCGCCTCCGCCGCTGAAGGTCAAGCTGACACTGCAAGACTTCAAGCTGCGGAAGCAGAAGCGCAAGGAGGAGGAAGAGCTCGCCAAGGCCGTCAAGTCACCCGAGATGGCGATGATGGGGCTCGGTCCACATGCGGAGACCTCGCCTACAGATAGCAGGTCGCATCAGGAGACGGAGGCCAACGGTGTTAAACCGAGTGCGGGAGCGATGGAAGAGGGTGAAGTGGATTTGAGAACCAAGGCCTCCGATTCTCAACGTGGAGGCCTAGTGGATGTTGAGATGAGATTGGAGACCAAGGTTCTATCCGACGAGCCTGCAAATGACATTACCTCTCTTGTGCTCGATACACCTCAGCTCAACCGAGGTGCGGCCTCCCTGAAGGCGAAGATCGAGCTCGTCGAGGAAGATCACTTGTCTCACAGTGAGCCTGCTGCCGAAGAGGATGGCAATCCGAATCGTGAGCAGCACAATCAGCCTACTTTAGACTTGCCCATAGAGCCTGAGCCTGAGCCCCTTGAAGGTACCAACGGGCACACATCCTCCGCTTCGGTGTCCGGCGATCCATCGCCACCATCATCTCCGCGGCTGGGCAAATCAGATGCCAGCTCGTCCCGTCTCTCGACGACGAGCAGCAGCTACAGTCAAACCGCAGGGCCTGAAGACGGCGAGATCACGAACTCGGCTCCATCAGCCTCCTTCCTCCTGCGCTCCCACTCGCCACCGACGCAGCCGCGCTCGTTTAACGGTGGCACTGGCAGCAGCATTGTCTCCGCGTCGTCATCGCAGCGCGCGGCAAGACTGAGTCCGACGCTCTCGCGACCGCTGCCGAGTGGACCGCGCGCTCTCCGGGGGATGGGCGGAAGCAGTGTCGTGTCTAGTGCGACGCCGGCGGCGTACCCGCCGAGCCGCACGTTTGGAAGCTCGTCGCAGTACATTCCGCGCGGGCCGTCTGCGGACCGTGATCGGAAGGATTGGGAGCGCGAGAGAGGGTGGGTAAGCGTGGCGAGAGGGCGTGGACGAGGCTCGAGTAACGGGTGGAGTCGATGATCGATGATGGTCAATGTGATGGCCGTCGCGATGGGTAGTGACGATGCATGCGCGCCTTTTCGTCTTTTGCGGGTCGCGCTGTGTCTGTCCGTGTCTCTGCGGCCTGGATCTTGCGACTGTCTTTCTTCTTGTCACTTGCAGTATTCTTTTTTGAATAGGATGTTCTGTATGTTATTTTTTTTCTTAACGGTCTCAGGTTTGACGCTAATCTCATCTTCTCTGTTGTGCATCGCTTGTTCGTCCCTTTGTTCCTTATTTGCGATTTTTATCTCTCTTCTCGCTTTGTCGTGTTTTTTCTCATCTTTTCTGTCTTTGTGGGAGGAGACAGAGAGACTGCATGCGCGGTTGAGCGAGATGCGATACTTCTGGTAGAGTCGTACGGTGTAATGAGTAGCGTAGTTAGTGATCAGAATAGCAAAATAGTCAAAGAACTCAAACGGCGTCGCAGAGGCAGAGTCCGCTTTTGGCTCACCCAGTAGCAAGGATACAAGGGTACTCAGCTCACGGTTAGCCGACGGTCGACGGTACAGGGTATGTTGAAGAGGGGGCTTTGTATCCCGTTTTACTGTAAACGTTCTAACGACTAAACACGGAGTGGCGAGTAAGTGACGAGAAGATGAAAGGGAATGGACACAAGCGCGTACGTATTGAACCCCGATCTTCGTAGTGAGGTCTATTAAGTGCCTGTACAGGTTCGCTGCGAATGTTCCTGGGGAACGCTCCTGAGCCAATTCACGGGCCGGTGAAGGTGGAGGTCGAGTTGGACGCGCGCGGCAGGACGCTTGCCTCCTGCGTCGTGTTCGTCAATAGGACCCTGACCTCCTCTGAGCTGTTGGAGAGGATCAAGGGCGTGTAGGCGGTGACGTTGGCCGCGTATTTAGCTTCCGCGACGGCCCCGCCGATGCGCGCATTAACGGAAAACGTGCATAGTTAGTCGGTGTATTAAGATCGTGCGGGCTGCGACTGGATTCTGGGACGTGGCGCTCACCGGTGAGATAGCAAGGCCAGGAGGATCGCCTCTAGGTTCATCGCTGCGTCGTCATTGAGCGTCGAATTGTCCAAGTGGAAGAAGAAAGAGGTCGGTGCCTGGAAGAAGTCTGGAACGAGGGTGCCGACGTAGAACGATATGAGGTTCGCGTTCCCGTTGAACGAGTCCTGGTGAAATCGCCCGGGAGGGAGCGTGTCGTTTTTCGTCGCGCTGTCAGGGGCAATGGGAGAGAGCGCAAAAGGATATTCGAGTTTTCCGTAGTCGAAGCGACCGGATGCGGCGGACGCGTTCTCGCGCGCGTTGATGAACTCCAGGAGCCTCTTGTCGCCGTCGGCGTAGATCGCAGGGTCAGTGCAGTATGAGGAACCAACCCGGACAAAAATCAAAACTTTTACCTCAATATCACCTGTTTTCAACAAAATCTTGGCAATTCCTGCCAATTGCTGTCAATTGTCGAACATTGCTGACAAATGCTGACAAATGGCGGGAATTGCTGGCAATTCCCTTCTTTTGTTAGCAATTTGTAACAATGCCCAAATATGATTGTCACAAATTGCCGCAATTGGGTGCAACACATCTAGCCATCACTCTGGCAATTCTATTCTACTGGACTCACTAATTTTTAGCCCATCAAAAACTCTGCCCAGATACTCAACAATTGTCGACATTTGCCAGAAATCTTTAAGTCTACAACCCAGCCCAGGGCCCAACAATATCTGATAATTGCTGATAATTAGCTAGGACTATGGATAGTCCAGCATAGTATACCCCAATATGACTTAGAGATAGAGTAGCAAGGTATAACAATGTTGGAGAAGATCCAACAAGATCCAAGAAAGGTTGAAGAGTGGATGTGACATTAAAATAAGGCAGGATCAAAAGGCAATCATGGTTGTAAACAATTATGGATAATTGTTGGCAATAAGATTGAGAGCAGATTGCCAGGAATTGACACATCTTGCTGATGGTGCCTAATTGATGACAATTACTGACAATTGCTAACAAGATATTATCTGCCAATTATGAACAATTGCCAACAAATTTTCACAATTGCTAGCAATTGTGGTGTTTACATAGGATTTTCTAGCAATTGATATGAAATGCTATATATTGCTGACCAGACCCTAAAAATCTTGAATTTTGTCTAAGAAAACTCTTGATAGTATAGAGGCTGATGTTTTCTATGAGTATACTATATATTGCATAGAACATAAATTAAGCCATAAAAAGTAAAAGAATATATAAAAGAGACTAAATTACCTTATAATGGATGCCTCAATTTATAAGAAAATGCCCTAGATCAGTGGTTTAAGAAAAGCATCAGAGACTAGGGATAATCACTAGTGGCAAACACCTTGTCACGAACGGCTGTTCGGGACGAGAGGATCCTAGGCCATGAATGATGAGAGAGGGTTTGAGAGGATGATCGGGACTGATCAGACTAGTGTCTTGCAATCAGAGAAGACTGTGTGAACAGCAGTTCTTAGATTGGACAGAAGTGGATAGCCTAGGGCTTCCACACTGCGCCGCAGTATCTATAAATATGTACAAGCAGATGCACGGACCAAGTATCAGTGGAACAGGAACGCGAGGTATAGTCGGGAGAAAGGTCCTATGAGTCCTTATCAAGAAGGTGGGAAGAAGTAAGTAAGCATAGGCGAGACGTTTTGTAACATTACCCCCCCCTCTAGGCCGTCAGTGCCAGAGACGGTAAGTAAGAGTCCAGGAAAAACATAAGCAATGCACGTAGTTCGAGTCGTACAAAATAATATTTAGGGCACACATTCTCGCTGCCCACAGTCGAGTCATGACGCGATAGCCCTTGAGTACGGACGTCATGATACCCCACCTCGTTACCAACCATGCGGGGACTGCGTTTTAGAGCCGAGTCCCTCTTCTCATCATGGCAGTGGGTACCGGCCCAACGGATTCGAACCGTCGTCTGCCCCGGCAGTTTTACGTCGTACCGGACGTCAGCGTCTCATTTTTCAAGCACCTCGAGGACGGAGGACGATGGGTTGGGTGTCGGACTCGCTGGAGTCATACTCGACGAAGGGAAGGGGAGGTCAAGTTTGGGTAGAAGGGCGGATTAAGCCCAGTCGTGCGGGTACAGCGTGGTAGCGAGGCGATATTTGTGCGAACCTATAGACATCCCTTCCTCTGCCGCGTTCCATGGGGTAAGCCCCCGGCATTGGGCGAAGTGGCGCTCTATTTGAGGCCGAAGACGAGGCACGAGATACCACAGCCGTGGTCGGCATGTGATATTCGGTGACAGGGGTGATGTCATCGGTGGGATGAAAGGTGTCCCGAAGGGGCGTTGTCTGGTCTAGACCTATGAGCTTCCTCTCGCCTGCATTAATGCGGGCGATGAGCGTTCCCTCTCTGATCTGTAAGGCTCGTTGTGTGTGTCGGACGAAGCTCCTTTCTTCTTCCAGGATCTCCAACGCCCTCTGAATTTCCGGTCTAGTTGGTCCCGATACAAATTCGGTGTTCGGCGTGCCTTCGATAAGCCCCATCATGTAGGCAACGGGAGTCGTCAGATACGTTTCTCTGTCGGGAAATACGATCCCCTCGCTTGGTGTGTGGATAAGGGGTGGTGGAGAGGGAGAGTGGGAAGGTGAAGGTCTATCGAAGTCCTCCGTGAGTAGTCTGATCATCTCATCCTGTCGTTGTTCATCCTCGTCCAGTCCTTCCAGATACTCGCTGAATCCCTCTTCCGCTTCCCGCGCTGCTTGTTCTTCGTCTGTGTCCCATGGTACGGACCGTTCTTCTACTATGGACATCTCGGGGGTCGAAGGAATGGAGGGGTCGGTGGAGGGCGTTTGTTCGATGAGAGTGTTCTCAGAAGAGAGGTGGGTGGACTCGTTGGAAGGCATGTTCGTTGGGAGGATGAATGAGTGATTGAAGGAATGAGGGAATTGTAATGATTGAATTTGGGTTTTTATACGTTTCTGATTTTGTTTGTCCGATGTTTGCAAGGGCTGCCCGTAATGGTAGATTATGATGTCGCGTATCGTATGCTTCCAAAAGTTCTTTGGCGTTCCCTAGGTTTGCTCTCGTGACCCATTCGTCCGCGGAGCTCGGGTATCCTTTCCAGTGTACTAGGTATTGATACCCGCGTCCTCGTTTCCTCTTGTCAAGAATCTCTTCGACTTCGTATTCCTCCTGTCCGTCTATGAGGTCGGGTGGTGGCTGTTCGAAGTTGGGGCCGTGAGCTGTTGTTTCTTTGTATGGTGTAAGTAGGGAGGCATGGAACACAGGGTGTATTTTCCATGTCGGCGGGAGCTTTAATCGGTACGTAATTGGCCCTAGTTTTTCTTCTATTTGGAATGGTCCGTGTAATTTAGGGGCTAATTTGTCTTTTGGATGCGTGGTGGTAATGTTTTTTCCCGAGAGCCAAACTTTCTGTCCTGCTTCTAATTTGACTTCGTTCTCGGCGGTTTTTCTTTTCATTAGTTCTGCCGCGACTTCCAAGCTGGCCTTTGTTTCTTTTCGGAGTTGGTCTAGCCTTTCCAGCCTTAGCTCCACTCCGGGGATGTCGGACCTTGGTGCGATCTGGGGTACGAAGGTCGGGTTGTAGCCGTACATGAGTTCAAACGGTGATTGGTGCGTGGCTGAGTGTTCCCTTACGTTGTGTGCGAATTCAGCGTATGGTAATAGTTCAGGCCAGTTCGTCTGCTCGTAGTTGCAGAACGCTCGTAGATACTGTTCTAACTCTTGATTTACTCTCTCCGTTTCACCATCTGTTTCGGGATGATAGGCGGTTGATAACGCTGTCGTGACTCCTAGCTTCTTCCATAGTTCTTTTGTGAATCGAGCGGCAAATTGTGGACCTCTGTCGGAGATGATCTTTTGTGGGAGTCCAAATCGTCTCCAGACGTTTTTCATGTAGAGGTCGGCCGTTCCTTCCGCATCTATGGTCTTGTTGCACGGAGTGTAGACGACTCCTTTAGTGCTTCTGTCCACTGTTACGTGTATTGCGTTATATGGTCCGACTTGTGGAAGATCCGTAATGAAGTCCATGGTGACTGTCTGCCAGGGTCCTTCTGGTATTTCGTTAGGAATGAGCGGAGTGCGTGTGGGGTGTGTGATATTCTTGGTGTATTGACATGTTGCACATCCTGTTACGTACTCTTTTATGAACGTGGACATTCCTGGCCACCAGAAGTTATCGGACACTAGGACATAGGTCTTCCATCTTCCCGGGTGTCCCGCTGCTGGTGAATCGTGGTACATTTTCGTGATTTGTCTTTTAAGTCCGTCGTCTGGTGGAACGTATATTTTTCCCCTGTGCCAGATGAGATCGTCTTCGTAATTCCATTCTTGTAGACCTTTGGAGAGGGCTCTGGGTCCGGATGCTTTGATAAGTTCCATCGCATCTGTTACTTCTTTATCTTTGGCTGTGACTTCTCTTAGCTTTCGTCTCAGCTGGCTGTCGAGCATTTCGATTGTTCCTCGTCCCGTTGCACTTTTGACGAACATTTGAGGTTGTAGTAGTACCTGGTTTTTGTTGTCAAATTTTACCCCCTCTTTCAGGTCTGGACGCCTGGACAGAGCATCGGGTCGGTGGGTAACGCCCGGTTTGTGGACGAGGGTGAAGTCGAAGCGGGAGAGGAAGAGTGACCACCGTGCTTGCCGGCGGGAGAGAGTTCACGCGGTGGAGAAGTACAGGAGGTTCTTATGATCGGACCAGATCTCGAACGGGTGCCGTGCGCCTTCAAGGTATACGCGCCAGTGATCAAGGGCGTGTATTACGGCGAGCAGTTCCTTATCGAAGATGTCGTAATTCCGCTCGGCCGCAGTGAACGACTTGGATAAATAAGCGACTGGGTGCCATCCGTCATGGGGCGTCTCTTGTGACAAGATGGCTCCGGAAGCGAAGTCGGACGCGTCAGTCTCGAGACGGAATGGGTGATTACCGTCCGGGTACACAAGAACGGGAGTTGACGTGAAGCAATACTTCAGTCGTTCGAATGCTTCGTTCCTTTCGGGGGTCCATTCGAATGGAACGTCCTTCTTTGTTAGGTCGTTAAGGGGTCGGGCTATAGCAGCAAAGTCTTTGATGAACCTGCGATAGAAGTTTCCAAAGCCCAGGAAGGATTGTACTTCCTTCAGGTTCTTCGGAGTTGGCCAGGCGGCGATTCCATCAACCTTGACGGGGTCCATGGATATACTATCCGCGGAGATGATGAATCCGAGGTATTCGACTGTGTCCGTTTCGAAGGTGCACTTGGAAGGCTTTAGGAATAGGTCATTGTCCAAGAGTATCTGCATAACTTGGGTTGTCACGCGTCGGTGTTCTTCGATGGTTTTCGTGAACACTAAGATGTCATCCATGTAGACTGCCAGGACTTGTGCTACAATGAGGTCATGGAAGATAATGTTCATCATTGTTTGGAAGGTGGCGGGTGAATTGCAGAGACCGAAGAACATCACGAGGCATTCGAATAAGCCGAATTTGGTCATGAAGGCTGTTTTCCATTCGTCGCCTTCTGCTATACGGATGTTGTTGTACCCCCATTTTACGTCAAACTTGGAGAAGATCCTCGCCTTCGATTTGGCGATGGTTCTTATTACGTCGTCAATCAGGGGTAGTGGATATTTGTTTTTTATGGTCCATTCGTTTAGTCTCCGATAATCTTGCACCGGTCGTAGACTTCCTTCCTTCTTTTTTACGAAGAAAAAGGGTGACGCTTGCGGGGATTTAGATATCCTAATGGTTCCTCTTTTTAGGTGCTCTTGGAGCATCTCGTGGAGCTGGTCTTCCTCCTCTTCCGTCAGCGGGTACAGTTTACACCCCGTTGGCTCCCATCCTGGTTTCATATCGATCTTATGGTCCCATTGTGAGTGTTCTGGAAGTCGCTGTGAAGCTTCCTGACTGAAGATTTTGGCGAATCGTTTAAGTACGTATGCCAGAACGATTTCCTCGATAGGTCGTTCCGTTTTTGCCTTGTTTGCCTCTTCTGCCAGCTGTTGCGATTTGTTTCCAATGGAACCGATATGAATTGCTTCAAGGGGGTGTACTTCCAATGGGTTTTGATAGTACCATTCCTCGTAGAATTCGGAGAAGAAGGTATCATCGATTTCGTCTTCTTCCGGATCGTCTTCTATTCTGGAATATCCGACCGTTCTGTTTTTCCTTTGCCGTGCGGGCGTCAGTGCTTGTATGGTAAACTTGGGCCGGCTGACTAGACATGTGGTAGCGCAGTTTGAAAACGTAAGGCTGTTTTTTGCCCAATTGATTTGTGGGTTATGTTCATGCAGCCAGTCCGTTCCCAAGATCACATTTTCGCCTCCTAGGTTAGTGACTAACAGCTCGCATTGTTCGTCGTGATAGTCGTCCTCTTTGTTTGTCATTCTCATAAGCATGCAGGCCTTGTTGGTGATTTTTCCTCCGTCGTTGGCCGTTCCGTCTACGTTGAACACGGGGATAGGTCTGTCGATTTTCTGCGTTGGTATGTTGTTATTCAAGCAGAATTGTTTGTCGATGAGAAGTCCTTCTGCTCCTGAATTGATCAATACTCGAGCTTCGGTGGTTCCTCCTCTGTGTTTCAGATGCACGTTTATTCTCATAGACGATTTCTGATTTGATTTGGTGAGCCGCACAAATGTTTTTACAGGAGGAGTTGGGATAGGTCTACGGTACACCGGGGCCGTAGGCCTATTTAAAAATCCGATTCCTTCTTCTTACTCATCTCGCTTAACTCCTGGAGGAGTGCTTCCTGTTCATCCCATCTCATCTTCCCGATAACCCTTTGGATCTCTTCTCGGCTAATCTCATGCTCCGTCTCACGTACAGGCGCATCCGGTCTGGGTGCGTGGGCCTGGCGAGCTGCGAGTCGGGCTCGGAATGGGTTAGTCGTCGCCACGCTTCTACCTTGCGTCGCAGTGCCTCCTTGAGGACTGCTTGAAGCTCCTGTCGAGAACGTTCGGCCATAGCCGCTTCCTCCGCCTCCCATCCTGCCGCCGGTCTGAGCCGAGCGGTTCCCCATCGTTCCACTACTCTGTTGAACATATCTAGCTGACCCTTCATGTACCCTAGACGAACCCCTAACAGGGCATTGGTTGGCCATATGTCCTTTTTGACGACAGTAGAAGCACCCACCCTCCATCCTGAGGCGGTTGCGCTCTTCGTCGGTGAGAGTCGTTCTGACCGAATCTACGGCCATGGGTACGACGGAGTTGTTCATGGAGGAGGGAGCGTTGGAGGAGTTGTAGCGGAATGGGTTGTTGGATCGAATGGTAGCTGAGGGTACGGAGCTTTTTATGCTCTGTAACTCTCTCCATTGATTATCGAACCTTCGGGTGTATTTTACCCAATCATCCATTGTCGTCGGCATGTCAGGGAGTCTGTAAATTTGTTTGAGGATCTCCGGGTGTATGGTGCGACGGAAATAGTCGACGGTGGATTCGAGATCGAATCCACTTTCTCCTGCCGTCATGAGATAGTCCGTGACAAACTCGTCTGCAGACCGCTTTCCCATTCTCATTGTGAATAATTTCTGTCTCGCCTTCTGTTCGAGACTCTCATCTTTGAATGCGGCGGCCAGTTCTTTCAAGAAATCCTTGAATGTTCCCCATGCTTTTCTCGTCTCCGTCGGTTTGTACTCCCGAAGTTCCCTGTCGAAATAATATTTCTGTGCAAAAAGTGACGCCGTTCCTTCTCTCATGTATGATAGCACCATCAGGGTTTTGTCCTTGTCGGTGTCATACTTGGTTGGGTTGGCGAGGATATACATGTGACATTCGTATATCCATTCCCTATATTTCGACCTCGTGCCATCGAAGTCCTTTGGTTTGTTTCCTCTGTCCGACATTTCATCTTCGTCGTCTGTGGTGTCTGTTGTCGGCGGAGGGTTCGGCGGTGGGTTTGGGT